CGCATCCTCCCTATTCTCGGCTTTGCCAACTTTCGACGATTAAATTTTCTTCTTGGTACGTCCGATCTATAGCGAGTCTCTACTACTACTGTTACAACCACTATTACTCACCGTTCTTTTCCTATCCCTCTATCTTTCTATCCATCCATATCTCTCTCTCTCTCTCTCTCTCTCTCTCCCTCTCCTTCGACGTTTTCTTATCTCAGGCGTGCGTGCGAACGCATCGTAACCATTGTTAATGTAATATACGTCGAGGAAGAAAAGAAAAGTCGTCGTTCTATACGAACGTGTTCGTTTAACCGTCGTTCCTTATTCGTTTAACGCTTTTAACGTCCTAGAAAACGTTTAATCTTTTTTTCCTTCTTCCTCTTTTTTTCTTTTTTCAACAAAGAGAACAAACGTGAAAAGTTTCTCGTCTCTAACTAGGTAAATAGATTATGAATAATACGTTTCCAGCATTGCCAACGAATACGATCACGTATCATGGATTGTAGTCAGTCACGACTCGAGCTGTCGGAGCATTGAAAGAGCGTTCTCTTTTTCCATTCAAAAATATCTATTGAATTTTCACAGTGATTTAACATAGAATATATCTAAGTATACGCGCTTATACGTATATGAAGCTAATTATATTGCAAATAAATATAAGTTTCATTAAAGCTTATGATTTCTCGATAAATGATAAGTATTAAAAAATAACAAAATAATATTCTACTATATCAAATTTACCACTCTTGGAAATGAAATTTACCTACTTTGATATTTACTGTTTGAAAGTAAGATATATTTCAGACGGAGCAATAGTAACGATGGCAGTAGGTAGATACAGGGAGGGAGAGAGAGAGAGAGAGAGAGAGTCGACGAGGGATAAGCCAGGTCGTCGGAGGGTGAAAGAGGGAGGGTTAGAGAGTACCGGGAGCTCGATATCCGTTATACATGCATATTAGATGGTCCGTGGAAGAGAGAGGAAGGTCTTTTGAGTGTAAGGAAGAGAGAGTAAGAGAGACAGAGACAGAGATAGAGAGAGAGAGAGAGAGAGAGAGAGAGCTCATGCACGATTATTTAAAGCTAAGCAACGTGTCGTCGCGGTGCCGCGCGCTTAGGGGTGTGCCATGCAAAGGCACAACCTCGCCGTTGGATCCCAGGAAACGTAGCTTTGAAGTCCTCCTCCTCTTCCTCTTCCTTTTACTCCTTCTCCTTCTTCTCCTCTTCCTCCTCTTCCTCATCCTTCTTCTTCTTCCTTCTGCACGCCCTAGTTACACACCTTGTCGAGCAATCGACTCGATTCAAGGCCGAGCGCGCTCGCACGCTCAGACACACACACACAAACAGACACGTGTGCATACACAGACGTACGATGTGTTAGTGCATCGGCATAAAGCCGTTGTCGTACGCCATTCCCTGGTGACTTTCTACGTTGTTCTGAGGATAGTCCCGTTCATCCCTCGAGTCCTCTCTATTCCGTGAACTATTATTCCCTTTCCTCAATATTTTTTAATCCTCCATCTTCGTTTCCTGTCCCCTCCCTTTTATTTCCTCCCTCTCTCTTTGTCTCCCTCTTTCTCCTTCTTACGTGAATACTAAAATAAACAAAACAAGGAAGAAAAGAAAAAGGAATCCTCGGTCCACTCGAGCTCGGTAGAGGGGAAAAAGTGAGAAAAATAGGTTGAGTAGTTCCCCCGTCCTTTACCTTCGGTGAACGCTAACCGCAAGTGGCCATTCGTGATAGACGCGAAGGTCGTCCAACGAGAAGAAAGAATATTCTCCGGGGTTGAACGCGCCAACAACTTCTATCTCTCTATCTTTTTTCTTTTTCTTTTTTCCCTTTCTTTTCCTAACATCTTTTACCCTCCTTTTCCCAACCCTATTATATATTATATATATATATATATATTTCTTCCCCGCTATCGCTGCTCCCGTCGTCGCTGCCGCCAATGCTGCTTACACAGCAAGATTTGGCGAGATACTTAGCCCCTCATTTAGTTTCTAGGTCGCGGGACAAATAAAAAATCGTTACTTATCTGTTATAGCATTCCTTGTCGATCGAGAAAAATGATTAGCTTATTTGGTAGTACCGTGACGTATCATTTTTATACGTCCTCCTTCTAATTTACTTTTGGATATAGGCGTACGTTTCAGGAAATGTTTCCCCATCGTTCGTTCGTTTCTAGGCTCAATGCGGAAAACGAGTCTCATCCTCCAACCTGACGATCTTTCGGCTCGTTTAATTCGAGTACACGAGCTGATCGGTTAAGGTAGTCAGTTTAATTAGTTCTCCTCTCTCTCTCTCTCTCTCTCTCTCACACACACACACACACATATATACACGGACGTGCACTCAGAGACAGACAGCTGTGCTAGTCAGTTCTCTCTATAGGAGTCGAGCAAATCGAAATGCCACCGCATCGGCTATGACGACGGATCTATTTCATCGAGTTCCATCCTGAAATCATTGTACGCACACAGACTTATGTGTACGTATGTACATATATACATGGACAGTATCGTTGTAACCCAAGAGTAGTGAGAGAGAGAGAGAGAGAGAGAAGTAGATAGATAGAGACTTTGACGGGTCTGCTTCTCTGTCGTGCAATGTAGTCGACTCGAGTCGAGGGCACTCGTCAAAGTTACTCTCTCGAATACGTCTCTCATTGTCGAAGCTCTATCCACTCGGGATAGTACTACTTCTAAAGAGTGAGACGTTCTCTTTCTCTCTCTCTCTCTCTCTCTCTCTCTCTCTCTCTCTCTCTTGGAGAATACGTCTGGACACCGGATAGACGTCGATTGTCAGAATCTACTCCAGGATCTACTTCGAGTATCGTAGTTACTACTCGTCGAATTGGACCGAGCTACTCAACACCAGCTCGAGAGTATTTTCGCATACTGCCACGATAGAAAAGCACAATTTCGTTCGGAGCTTTTCGTGTAGTTGTTTGAACTAGGCGATTCGTTGAATTATGAGCGATTTTAGATACATACTATATCGAACATTTTACGAATCGTTCACGATATGTAGAAATCAAAAAACTTTCGTATCTCTTTCCTTAGGAAAATTATGGGATCGCTCGCTTATTGGATTATCGTCCTATGTTCATTGGCTCGATACGCTCGACTTATTTCATTTTGCGAAATACGATCGATTCGAATGGGTTACAAATTAATTTTTCTTATTTTTCTTTTTTTTTTTTTTTTGTTTTTTTTTTCCATGGATTCACCCATTTCACCCATGCACGCGTAGAACTGAATAAATTGCAGGTGAGAATTCATTTGTCAGAATTCAATTACATTCAAAATGGCGTTTGATTCGCGAATTATCGAAAAACGAATAAAGCTTAATTTCTCATATCGTTCACTCGTATCATTCCTTTATCTTTTTCTTTTGATACGTCGTCCATCAATACGCCGATAATAGCGTACGAATTATCGTCGCTTTAATTATATGTAAGCGAAGCTTTCCCGGGCAAAGAGAGTTTTGCGTCTACCAGTCGCTTAATTGTAGTAAACTACCGGGGGCGCTGATGCGCACCGATTCAAGCTAAACTCGGTACTTCCGTTTAGCGCAATCAAATACGTTTAAATTATGTTTCCTGGGTAAACCCGAACTTTCACATAATCCTCTGTTCTCTGCTTAACTGTTCCTTTGACATTACCTAGATTACTTGCTTTCTATCTCTCTCTTTTTCTCTCTCGAACTTTCAAATTTTCGATTTGTTTCTATCGCAAATATAAACACTTTCAGTATTTAATGAGTGAAGAAAAGAAAATTAAATAATAATTGTAGGTAAGCGTACATATATATATATATATATGTATATATATATATATGTGTATGTGTACAACAAAAAGTGAATCTAACCGTATGTACTTACTCGTCGACATTCTAGTTTTACATAATTCATACGATCCACTCTAAGGGCGAATAGAAGCTTCGGGTTTTGCAAGTTTCGACATGCTCTAGCACAGACCTTGCAAACGTGTTTTTCTCGACTCTATCTCTCTCTCTCTCTCCTCTCTCTCTCTCTCTCTCTCTCTCTTTCTCTCTCATTCTTTCATATATCGAGCCGATTTGTTACTTCGCATTCGGTCTGGAACCAATTATTTGTTTCCACGAATCCCTGCGAATTTACGCGAGCGACGCGTATTGTCGAGAGAAATTATTCGTACGAGTTTGCCTCCTACTCCCTATGGACGAATTCTGGATATTAAAAAAAAGAAAGAAAAAAATAATAAAAGAGAGAGAGAGAGAAAGAAAAAGACAGATTTGAAAAATGCGAGGGTGAGTTCGTTCGCGCACGCGCGCGCGCGTTAAAGGAAGAAAAGATGGAGCGATAAATCGTCGAGGATCGCTTGAATTATGCTCCAAGCAAAGAGAACTCTCTCTTTCTTTTTCTCGCGTGTTCTCGAATTGCTTACGTGTAGAATATATATATATATATATATATATATATATATATATATATATATTTTACATCTATGTATCTTACATCTATGCAGTAATTTATTTCTCTTTTTTCTTTTTTCTTTAATCTATGAAATATATAAGTACGCATACCTACGTAGAAAGGTTTACATTATTTTTTCTCTTCTACTGTTTTTTTTTCTTTTTTTTTTTATTTACAAACAAAGAATAATCCAACGAGAATAATCGAACAGAGAACAATCAGATATCGACGAACAAAACAAACGATGAAAAACATGGATATTAATCTTCCATTAGCATTCAGTAAATAATGTTTGGCCGTATGAATTATGAAAAGAATGTAAAATTATTTCGCTTTGTTATGATAGGAAATATCTACATATCTACCTATATGTAAGCATATGTGTATATATATTATATACATATATATATATATAGATATATATAACACAATGATGATTCATAGCAAGATAAGGAAATATCGTCCAGAGATTTTTGCATTCTCGAGTACATAGATACAGTAGATCGAGTACAAAGCACATATGTAAGTTACATATCTACGTACAAATTTATTCTCTCTAGAAACTCTCGCGAGGCGTACGTATTTGCATTCATCGATTTGCGTAAGGACAAAAATAATATCGTTCATTATTACGCATATGCAAAAATGGCAGAACGATCGACGAATTTGTTATTCCCATCGAAGCTGTCGTTCGAATTAATTTCATTTGACTAATTTCCTCTTATTTAATTTGCCACAATTATTTATAATGTAAGAAAAACAAGGAGGAAAGATATATATATATATATGTATATATCATTAACAAGAGAGGATAATCAAATTGCATAATTATAAAAGAAAGCGATTAGATTCATTTTCATAAATATATGGTAGAAAGAAAATAAGAACACGTGAAAGCAAGTCCGTAGTCAGAAGGGTGATAGTTGGTCGGTCGGTCAGGGAGGGGTAGAAGAGAGGGTGGTTTCGGTGGTTTGCGGCAAGAGAGGGTACGGATAGGTGGCGGTACGATCTTCGGTAATGATTGGTCGTCATGGAAACGAAGCGGAGCGCGCCTCGCCCTTTTTCCTCTTCGGTCCTTTCAACGAGCGTTTCGTATGGCTCTTCGAATGACTCTCCCAATGGCGCCTCGTCCTGGTGCCTCGTCCTACAAGATGAAACATTAAAATACCCTTTGCCCTGGTATGCTTCTACCTTTGATTTTAACAACGTACTATATTCACGATCGAGTGTCCATTAAAATTCTCTTTTTTGATCCTTCGCGAGAGATTTTTTCTGTTTCCATTAAATTGAAAAAAAGGGAAAAAAGGAAGGGAAAAAAGCTACGGTTAATTGTCATTTGAACAGTCTCCGGGGATACAATGATAGTTCTTTATAACGTGATTAAAAAGAAAAAAAAAAGAAAATAAATAAATAAAAAAGAAAAGAAAGAATCGTATGTCCATAAAATTCTTTTATTTTTGACTTGGAGCAATACGAATAGTAAGAACGATAAATCATTCTCTCATCACTCTCTCTTTTTTCTATCTTTCTCTCTTGATCTTTTTCCCCCTTTTTTTTTTTTTTTTTTTTTACCCCCGGGACACCTGACCTTTCAAGCTCCCAACGACAGAACAAAGTCCATCTCTCTTTTTATTCCACTCACCTCAGAACCGTGCGGACGGCTTTCTGGGTTCCAGAGCTTTTCTCTATCTCTCTGTCACTTTAGAGAGGAAAGATTGTTAATCCTTCGTACACAGAGAGGTCTTCCTTGCAGCGAAGGCAAAGCGAAATGACGTATTCCACGAACTCCCTTTCTCTCGCGATTATCTCCTATCTTTTCTGGAACGAAACAAGGCTAAAGAAAAAAAAAAAAAGGAAAAAAAAAATAAAAACGGAAATTTACCAAATGGATACGCACTTAATAAAAATGAACGATTCGTACTATAAATGCTTGATCACTGATATTCTACGAATTTATATGAAGTAACTGTGACTGAATCGTAATAATCTAATTAAGGATTTTTATTGGCTTGTATATAAAAGACAAATATGGAATAATATTATTCTAATATTAGACGTCGCATAAGAATATGAAAGAGTAACCAACGGCTCGACGCTTGATCCTCATTTTATTATTCGAGCGATGGACCGCTCGAAAGATAACACTCCGTTCTTTTTTTCTTTTTTTTTCTTTTCTTTTTCTCTTTTTGTTCTGCGTATCTCGTTTAAAATTCCAACGACTTAAAAATCATAGGTATCTCCTTGCACTTAGATACCTCTATGTGTCTACGAAATACTGTTACGTTCTTTCGTGACTAGAGAGAAGACGCAGGGGAAACGAGGGTGATATAAAACGCTTGCCGTGCACGTTACAGAAATCTAGGTGGAGGTAAAGCGTCTTAAAAGCTCGAGCGTTGCCGCGGAAGACCACAAAGGGAATTTCTTCGGTAACGCTTGGGAAGGTATACGAGAGTAAATGTCTATGGAACGAGAAGGACTTTAAATGTAACCAGAAAATACTCCTTAAGGGATACGACGCAGTCTCCGTAAATAGGCCGTCGGTTAATAAATAATAGTGAACGGCAAATGGAAGGAGGATGCGAATTATGGAAAGTATATTTTACTACTAGACGAGTATAATCGAGTTTCTATCTTTTAAAGGAGCAATCATTATCGTTGGTCGTTTGATAAAAAGGATTTTTCATACGCTCGATCGTTCATATAAAATTCTAATTTATGTACGATCATAGGTAATACTTACTTACGTAAGTACTTAGTTCACGTATCTGTTTTTTTGCTCGAGAAACGTCATCAATCCGATGAATATTTTTCGTTGAATAAGAGAAAAGGCGAGAAGAATAGCGATCCTTCGGAGTTTTTTTTTTTTCGAAGAAAGAATACAACATCTTGTTTCTCATTCTCCTTAGATGCATTTTAGAATGGATCGTAGAAACTTTGTCAATCGAGCTCGCGCTTTTCTATACAGGTGGCTGCATCGTACGCTCCCCTTCCAACAACCTCTTACACGCTTCGTCGAACTTCGATTCGAGCTAATCGAGAAAGTTTAGTTTTCGGCTAACTAGAGGCGTTCCGCTCTTCGACGTTCGCGTTACGCGCCATACATGCATATTTAGAAACGATGGTAGCTGCACGCACATACTATATGTACTTAGACAGGTATATACGAATATGAAATATTGCTACGAGCGAACGTAAACTCCGAAGTTTAGTTTCTTTCCAGGGCTCTAGTAAAGTAAAGAATTTAAAAGTCGAAATGAAGATAAATCGTCTTTAAATCCCCCTCTCTCCCATCGATTGAGAAATTGAATTAATGCAAAGAAAAAGAAAAAATCTTTACGATCTTTCTCTTGATTTGACTGACGATGATTTAATTATAAGAACATAGTGCATAATAATTTGGTCAAATTAACGGAAGTTAACTCGATTGTTTCAGAGGCGCCTTCTCCGTGGTACGCCGATGCGTCCAAAAGAGTTCCGGTCTCGAGTTTGCGGCGAAAATCATAAATACGAAGAAACTCTCGGCCAGAGGTAAGTTAAAGAATATATTTCTCTTAAATTTTTGTCTACCTTAAAAGATCGACGTAACAAAACCGAGGTCACACGTCAGCGTTATTTAAACACACATACTTACGTACTTACTTAGGATTGTCTGGCCGATCGTTGGACCGACGACACATTGATTCTCTTTAGTCGCATCAATTTCAACGATTCTTTCGACCTTCCGATAAAATCCGATTTTACCTTTTATCCCTTTATAAGACTGAATACGAAAATTTTCCAAACCTTCCCCCCCCCTCCCCCACCCTACAGATCCCATTTCTTTCGTCGATCCTTTCGATATTCTCCAGAAATATTTTACGTGGTCGACGAGGCCGCTAGAAGGACGACTCCTCGAAAGCAGGATTTGAATTATCCTATCGAGTCTCGCACACTTTCGTCCTTATATATTATTAAACGATAAAATTTCGTGTCCTTTTCGGTGAGCCAAGCTGATCCTTTTTTTATCAGGGTTATCTCCGTTCGATTGGGAGATCTCTATCGTGTGACGACGGAATCTACGGAAAAGCTTTTCTTCGTTGGAAAATGCAATATGGCGCGTTTCAGTCGGGGTTTCTAATCTCGCTTTTTTCGTCTTAGACAATCACGGAAGAGAGAGAGAGAGAGAGAGAGAGAGAGAGAGAGAGAGAGAGAGCGAACGAGTGAGTGAGTCGGCTCTTGCTCGTCCTATAGCGACGCATATATCGACGCGCGTGCGACGCGTGTCTAAAAACAACGAGCGACGCCGTTGTCAAGCTGCCAACATTCCATCGCGAGCAACCACGGTGCCAATGGCGTAGGATAGCCGGCCCGGAAAATATAGTTGGTCCCCTTTTGAAATTCGATCGCCCCTGAGCGCGCCCAAAAAAGCTCTTTCTCTCTCTCTTATTCCGCTCGTAGACACTACGCTCTCTAATCTCTTCATCTATCTCCCGTTCAAGTTTATATAGAAGCGCTTGTAATCGATGGTAAAGGGCGACGAGGGGTCGAAGCCAAACGAGCGTCTTAATCGAATCAATTAAAATACTGTCCGTGTGTAAAATTTATCCGATATAAGCTGGATCGTGTTACGATCGATCGAATCGATTGGCCTGCACCCCTGTCTCTTATCTCTCTCTCTCTCTCTCTCTCTCTCTCTTTCACTGTTTGTTGCAGAGAAAGAAACTCTTATGTCTTCGAGAGAAAAAGTTTTTAAAGAAAATTGTGAATAATAGCTTCGTCGGTAGTACATGCGTTATACCGCACGACATTCAGTCGCATATTCAGTTTCTATTATTCATCTATTCTTTCTTTGTTCTTTTCTTCTTCTTTTTTGTTCTTTTTCTTTTTTTCATGTCCGCGATGTAGAAGAAAAAATGACAAAAAAAAATCTTTCGGTCGTCCTTGCTCGATATTCCATTTCAAGTCGTCCCAGTGCGTGTCGACCCAGATCTCAAGGGGATCCTCTCGCGAAAGGAAGAAAACATCGTCGTCGTCGTCGTCGTCGTCGTCCTCGTCGAAGGGTCGTACAATCTCGAACGATTATACGCTTCTTCGACGTAAAGGGTGACCGTGGCACGTTGTTTGCACGCTTCGAATGAGGGCTAATCTATATTCGTGTGTATATATGGAAAATTACGAAACGACGGCCTCTGTACGGTGCAATGTAGCATGCAAATAGGAGGAAGAGGACGAGGAGGATGGAACCTGCCTTTAGAACTCCAAGACCGAAAGGAATTTTCGTGTCGAGGGTCGCGGCCCGAGTGCAAGAAGGCAAGAGGGCAAGAATCTCCTCCTTGGAGACAAAAGGAGGACAAAATGAAAGTGAAGACGCGTTTAATCCTCCGCGCTTCTCGTTCCTCCTCCATGAGCTCGCTCGGCTTTTCGAACGAGCCTCCCTTCGTTTTACGTCAGAGTAATCCTCTTTGGATTTAAATGGAACCCTTGAATAAGTAGCAGCCGCATTAATATGCAAGGTAAGGTGTCGCGAGCACACGTTACGTTTGCATTTAAGCGCGCTTAAAAGAACCTATATATGTAATGTATATGTTCGATGTTGACCGTGCATATACGAATTCTACGTTCATCCTTTCTTTCTATAGAATCATGTTCTCGTAGCATCGGTGGTTCAGTGGTAGAATGCTCGCCTGCCACGCGGGCGGCCCGGGTTCGATTCCCGGCCGATGCAATCCTTTCTTTTTTTTTTTTTTTTTCGTTCTCTTTTTCAAGTTTAACGCAATTTGTAAAATCCTTCAAGAAATCCTACTCGAGAGTTGTTTTATATTTTTATGACATTAAAAAATTCTCTTTGCCAGAAAGAGAGAAAGAGAGAGAGAGAGGATAGAGAGATAAAAAAAGTCAAGGAAAAAACAGATAGGTAGAGAAGAGGCAAAAGGCGAAACGGAAGAGTAGGTTGGTGGGGTGTTTAGAGATAGCGCACAGAGGAGAGCCTCTTTTCTCTTTCTCTTCGTTAGCTCTCAGCGGGCGTCGAGGATGACTCTTTACACGTTTGCACCGGGAGAGTTCGGGCCACGGCCTTGCTCCAGTGACCTCTTGACCTAGTCACTGGAGCCGCCATTCAACCGCAATATGGAGAGTATGCATTTCAGGAACGAATGAAAGCTAAAAATGAAGAACAACGGTAGGTATATACTTGTATGTAGGTAGACTCGATTCGAGTCGAGCGGATATTTGTCAGCTTAAGCGTAAGAAAGAGAAAGAGAGAGAGAGAGAGAGAGAGAGAGAGAGAGAAAGAGAGACTCTTCCTATTCAAACATTTTTCTTCGATTTATCTGTGACGTCATCGGCGACATTATTAAATTGACCGATTAGGGAAAGGAATCTTCCTAGTCGTCTTCTTCCTGGATTTCTCGATATCCTTGACGATAAAAGGAGAAAAGCTTTTCAAGAGTCTAGAGCTTCCTTCAGAAAGCTGGTAAACCGCTAGAATCGTTACCATGCTGACTCCGTACAACTACTAGGGAACCCTGCGAACGCTGTTGCAGTTAAAAAGAAATTTGCAAAAAAAATTTTTTAAAAATAAATAAATAAGTAAATAAAAAAGAAAGAGCAAAAAAAAAAAGAAAACAAGAAAAAAATCCTTTGATATACGCGCTTTCCATCCCTTTGCTCTTCTATTTTTTCAACCGTTACGTTCCCACTCGACCCCATCGAGCGTCGATGTTTTAGTATTATCGTTGTTATTATTATTATTATTATTATTATTATTATTATTATTATTATTATTATTATTATTATTATTATTATTATTATTATTATCAACGTCGTCAATATCGATCGTTATTGACATTATTATTATTGTCCTTGCTCTCTAGACGCGGGAAGCTTTCCGACGAATTTATTTTATAAAAGCTGTTAGACAGAGACAAGATGGAAATGAAGAAAATTTCCATTTCAACTTTTGAAAGCGTAAAACTAATTAGCTTTTGTGCGTACGTACGACAGGTGTTTGAAATTAGATACGCTTCGTATTTTCACGTCGCTTTTTTCTTCTTTTTTAACTCCCATAATTTGTTTTTCTTCTTTCCCCTTTTTTTCTTTTTTTCTCTCCCAATCCCCTTGCCCTTTTCCAACCACTCTCAACCAGCATCATAAACGTTCTGTTTTAAAGTCGTCTCGGCGTGCTTTTCGAGGCTTGCCGTTCTTTTCGAGCGAATTTAAGGAAAAAGAAAACGTCGAAACGCACTCATAACGCATCGCGTTCCTTTTTCTCTCGTACCGCGAGGTCTCGCTTTTATTTCGCTTTTTCGAAAACGACGCCAAACGCGTAGACAATGACGAATCCGAATTCGTCGAGGACGACTCAATAAATGCAAGATCGTTTGAGAAAAATGATATAATAAGTTGCATGTTCCTATCTGTGGATTGGAGGTAACGAGGATTCACGGTGTTTTACGTTTCCAAGAGAAAACCGCGAAAGGAAAGAAAGAAAGAAAGGAAGGAAGAAAGGGGAGGAAGGGAAAAAAAAAGAAGTATATCGTCGCGGTACTTAACGGGTCTGCGAATGCAATTTTAGCCGACGTCCTGAGTGAATTAAGCCGGAGAAAATTCGTCTGGGGAAATCTCGATGGGGGGGAAAATTCGATTTCAACTTTAATGACGTATCCAGGATCAGCTGTCGTAACAAGGAAACTTTCGTGCTCTAACATATTGGAAATCCAAGCCCCTGGATACCCGTAGTCCTAACGAACTTACAAACGATCGGCTACAAGGATTTTCTATCGTCCCTATTAACGCCTACTTTCTCCTATCTACATTTTTGCCTTTCCTTTACTTTTCGATAAACTCGTTAAAAGCTTTTTAAATACGATGCCAACTTCTCTTCGAGGGAGATGACGAATCATTAAGAATCGAAAATTAAAGTCCAAGATGTTTCTCGAGTCGAGGAATGACCTAATCGAAAATTTTCAAGACGAATGGAACTTCCGGATTTGCCTCAAGATGAGACGACGAGATACCGGAGTAGTTTATTCGACGTGGCATAATAAGATTCCCCATTTCCCTCTCTTTCTCTCTCTCTCTCTCTCTCTCTCTCTCTCTCTCTCTCTCTCTTCCTTCCCGTTTTCTTCCTTCCTACGTTTCTCGTATAATTGCTTCGTGGTACGAATTTGTATCCCTGCCGTATCTTCTTTACATTCGCACTCTTGAATTATATTTTTTTTTTCATCTTGTTACAGATTTCCAGAAACTCGAGCGCGAAGCACGGATATGTAGGAAATTGCAGCATCCAAATATCGGTGAGTCTTGAAAATGTATATTTTCGTTTGGGGAGGGGCCGAAAAAAAGGAAAAACAACAATATGTAATCTAGGGATAGACTAGTTACTTACTTACTAGATTACTTACTTATCAGAGAACTTTTGAGTTTAAACCTATATAGTCGAGATGCAAAGTATGTATAGTTATCGAACTAACTAAGGCACGTTTTGCCTATAGGTTTGCGAGTTATTCAAGCGTTAGTTAGTAGATCGTTCGTTCGTTCGTTCTTTCCATCCAATCTAATACCAAAACTAACTCTCTTTCGATTATCTATGGATCGCGTACTTTGCAGTCTATCAATCTCGAGGGTACGAGTAAATGGGTAAGACAAAGATGTATTACAAGAAAAAAATTCAAAAATTCAAAAAAAAAAACGGTTCGAAGCTTCGTTATAAAACTTTTCCTTTATTCATAAGAGAATTTTTCAAAAGATTTTTACTTTGGAAAAAAGATATGCGCGATTAATTAAAATTTTATGCGACGGGCAAACGAACGAGCCCCTTTGCTTTCCCGATTAAATAACGTTCGAGCATCGAGCAATTATCAGAAGTTACGTTAACGTCGAGACTAATTAGCGTGGTGAATCTATGTTGATTATACCTATGTTGACTGTATGTACTTATTTATCTATCTAATCAGTCCATCGATACAGGGTATCCGTTGTAACTATCGATGTAAAGGCGATACTAACAAAAATCGTATATTCCGAGGAGCCCGTAAACGGTCTTACCGTGTTACCCTAGTCTCTTTGTAAAAATTTCCTCGTTGAAATGGATGCCCAGCTCGATCATCGCAAACTCCCCCAGCGAGTCATTCTCGCTCGATTTACCTCACGCGCTTCGCGAAAGCATCGCATTGCCCTAGAAGGCAATCGATCCCATTGTTCTCGCTTTCTAAAGGTATCGGGACCCTTTCGTTCTTCTCGATAAAACAGTTACAGTTGTCGTGTTTCATGAAAAGCCCCTAGAAAATTTTCATTGAAAATTGTTACTCCATACGACGAGCTATTCTTTTCCCTTTTCTGTTTCTTTCTTTTCTTTCTTTTTTTTTTAGTCCTTTTTCTTCTTCCCTTTCTTTTCCCCTATAGAAATGTTTTCTGACGTCCATCGAATAATTTACGGAGACCAGAAGTTCTCTTAATTCATTTTTTTCTCCATCCGTTTGATCGTTCTCCAAAGAAAGAAAGGAAAAAAGAGAAAAAGAAGGGGGGGGGGGAACAAGGAGAAAAAACGAACGGTTTAACGACATCAAAGCGGAAGCGGACGAGACTCCTTCGATATGCGGGCAAAAGACTGACCTTGAACCAGCGTAGCTTTTCCACCGGCTGTATTGGCGGTCGTACGGGGTGATCTGGATACGGGCCAATCGATTTCGTCCCGAGCTAAATTTTTGGCTCGGCCCGCCGAATGGCGCAGGAAAGACAAGAGCAATTTTTTTAAAAAGATCCTGGCAGTTCGTAACAATTCCGCTTGGCACATTTATTATAAGAGAAAGAGAGAGAGAGAGAGAGAGAAAGAGATTCGAGTCTCGGGAAGATATAACCAACAGGTGTCCGGCCGTCTTTAGACGCTGACTTAACAATCGTTCTTTCTTGTTTTTTTGGCAAAAATTCATCAACGTTCGAATACAAAGACGTAAGACGGGTGGCTTTATTACTCCATCTTTTCCTTAAAGAATCTTTTTTTCTTTTATTTTCTCATTGGATCTTATTCGAGCTTTCGTTCAACGCTTCTACGATTAATACAGGATCATTTTGATGATAATGTCGAACACCTCGAATTACATTCTGTAACAAAATATTCTGTAACTTATATATATACACCTACTTTACGTATCATATGCACGTACAAAAATAGAGAAAAAAAAAGTATATATATATATATATATATATATATATATATATATATATATGTATACATTTGAAATTATGCACTTTTATAAACGCAATTAATTCCTTCTTGAAGAAGCCGTGTAAAATATAAATTTTACTAGGGAGATCAAAATGATACCCCTGCATTCGTTTCTCGCGTTTGTTTACGTAAAAAACCATTCGATCGATTTAATCGAGTATCTCGAAACTGTGCGAGAAGATCTCGAAGGATTACGAAGGAATAAAACGGAAGTGAGAAGATGTGTTAAAAAGTGAACCTAGATCAATACCTTTAGTATCTATACGTTCGATTAGATCCATTACTTTGGTGCAATCTAACTCGTTCTATCGTTACCACTTTCTCGAACCAACCCTCTTATATGACCCTTCGCTTTCTTATCTTCGTTATTATTTTCGTCCACTCAAAAAGATAGAAACTCAATCGATATCACGTTCCTTATCGTTATTTTCTAAGAGTTCCCGTAGGGATTTGAAAGATCAAGGTGGACGATTAGCCTGATTAGAGAGAAAGAACGATTCCTTCGAGCTTCATCATTTTATCTCGAGTTACTCTCTCTCTCTCTCTCTCTCTCTCTCTCTCTTTCTCTATCTTTTTCTTTCTCCACGGCCTCTCTCTTCCTCTCCCTATCTCTATCCATCCCTTTCTCTTCGATTACAATACGTTCAAAAATTCGATCGAGAACCAAGACTTTCGACCTTTACATTATTTATAAACTAACTATCGATTACCCTCGCTATCGAGGAAGAATTTATTCATGGTATTATTATACCTCGAACGATCTACGTATGTGAGAAACTGAACGATCGTTCTTCATCCTTTCCATTTGCCATTGTTGTTAATTTGAAATCTTTGAATTACTTCCTCTATCATAATTCAACATACTCTATGTATATAATATATATTTATTTATTTATATGTATATATATATCATATATATATATATATATACCAGGAATTTGTTTGTTTTCTTTCCGAGACCACACATTCGATTCGAACTTTGGTTGATCGAGGCCAATAGGCACGTCTCTCGTTTCCGAGTCAACAAGTGATAGCCATCGATCGTTTCTCTCACTTCTTCGTTTCTCCTGTTTTTCTTCCTGACATAAAGTTTCCGTCGCACTTCATCACCATTCTCGACCTGTCACAGACGTTCGGAATAAACAGAAGGTCGATCATGATGAAAACAAAATCGTGTACCTTGTCGCTTAAAGATTTTAAGTTGGTTATCGAAAAACAATCGTTTGAGAATTTTAATTGAATTTTATTTTTAATCGTTCGATAAATCTGTCGAAAAGGAAAGAAAATATTTTCGTGGATATCATCGATGGATCAATATATAACAATTGTAACACAGAGCTAATTTTCTCTCTTTCTCTTTCTCTCTCGTCTAACAATAAGTTCGCCTAGCGTGTGGAATAAGAGAGACTCTTTAATTTACGATGCCTTTAGCTAACGATTTTCTTGTCAAGGGGAGCTAAGGTCTCGGGAGATTATGCCGAGACATTGTTACGGGGATACGAGCGAGCTAGCACATCTAATTTCATTATATTTATGAAAAATAAATCTCATAGAGTATGTATGGGGTTCGTGAGCAGTGAATCCATTGGAACGTCACGAAAACGAGTCGAAATATCGTTTTTTCTATAAACTCGATAATAATATATCTTATTTGACTCTTCGTCTTGTTTTCCTTCAGATCTCGAATGTTAATAGAGCGATCTAAGTATAGTTAGCATATTCCATTTCGAGGATAAAGGTCAAAGTTTGACTAGCAGCAATTCTATTTCTCTATTTCTCTTTCTCTCTTTCCCTTTTTCTCTTTTTCGAATATATTTCATTTCGTTCACGTTATGTCGAGACTCGCGTCTAGATGCGAAGGATATTAGAGAAACGAGGAATTGGAATTCTTCCTAACATCGCTCCAAGAATCGATTCTTCGATTCCGGGAATCAAAGATGAGCCAAAGCATCGCGTATCAAAGATCTCCTGATTCATATATGGTTCTTTCATTTTTATGAAACGCTTCTTCGGTCTTTTTTTCTTTTTTCACTTTCATAAAACCTATTCGATTTGCTTACTCGACGTTGACGATGATTTGTTTATTTTTTTTTTCTTATTTATTTATTTATTTATTTTTGATTGATATACAAGATGTCATTCGTTCGTCCGCAGAAGAAATATCCACTTGAGATCGATTAAATCAACTAACCAGAATGCAAGATGATCTTGAATAAGTCTCGTCGCTTCTTCGGTTACCTTCGTTGACCCTAATGAAGATCTCACCCCAAGGAATATTTATAGTTAATAAATGATTCTCGCGCGTTCAAACAAAATTTCAATGCTTTAGCTAACCGCCGCGTAGGCCATACGTACATACATACATATATACATACGTATAAGTCTCGACGATCTCTCTTTCTCTCTCTTTCTTTCGAAGCTTCGCCATTTTGAATTTTCTTCTCGATAAACGCTCTTGCGTAATTTTCTCTCCAAAGCCACGCTACTTAATATTTCACCTTCGTATCGATAATAATAAACGACGAATAATATTTGCGACTCCATTCCATTCATTATTATTAATTTGACTAAAATTTCTCTGTTTCAGTGAGACTACACGATAGCATACAAGAGGAGAACTATCACTATCTTGTCTTTGACTTGTAAGTGAATCACTTATCTTTCATTTATTTGTTTTCTTTTCCTTTTATTTTATTTTTTTCTTTTATTTTTTTTTTTTTCTTCTAATTTATATTAAAATATCGAATACCCAGTGACCGCAGCAAAGCAAACACTTGGGGAAATATTTTTATGGCTCCTCTTTTTTTTTTTTTTTTTCTTTTTCCTTTCCTTTTTCTTTTCTTTTCTTTTCTTTACCATATATATATATATATATACACCATCGACGTTCGACGTCCCCGACGTGGACGATCGCAAGGAATATTTAAAAAAGGAAATAGGCAAGAGCATCACCTTGTACGCGTCGTTGATTCCCCTTTGAATCGATCTTTCTATAGAGACGTCTCGTAATTTCTTTTCAGAGTCACCGGCGGAGAGCTTTTCGAGGACATCGTTGCGAGAGAATTTTACAGCGAGGCGGATGCCTCCCATTGTATTCAACAAATCTTGGAAAGCGTCCACCACTGCCACTATAACGGAGTTGTGCATAGGGACTTGAAAGTACGTTATACGTTTGTGCATTCCAAATAGAATATGCATTCTATATCTGTCTGTGAAAACAGGAAACTGCTAGTAGGAATGGGCAACTTCGATAACTTAGTCAAGATTTCGACGTAACAATATCGAGTAGTCGAACTTGGGACGTACATACGGTACATTTAGGATTGTAAAAAAAATCCGAGATCAAACGTGCGTATAGAGGTGGTTGCGTTTTAATTCGTTCGAATGTGTGTTCTAGGTGAAAACCCATTAAAATATTCGATAAATAATGTCGATCTAACGAACCATTTCGATATTACATACGGCGATATCGCGTATTTGTCAGAAATCTTCGAAGATATTCTCCTTCTTTTTGCAGCCAGAAAATTTACTTCTCGCAAGTAAAGCAAAAGGTGCGGCTGTGAAATTAGCAGATTTTGGATTGGCGATCGAGGTGTCCGGTGAATCGCAAGCATGGTTTGGTAAGTCGTCGGTTTGTCTCTCTTTTATCGTCAAAAAGGTTTTTCTGTCTGTTTTCTCGCGAGAGTGGGGCGGGGGTGGGTGGGCGAGGGGAGGAGGAGGAGGAGGAGAAAGGGCAAAGTTCATACGTTGATCTATAAAAATAAAAAAAAATGAGTATCGATCCTGAGTACGAATCTCTATACGTACGGCCCTAAAAAGGTTTCGCTGGAACGCCCGGTTACCTCAGTCCGGAAGTTTTGAAGAAAGAGCCTTATGGGAAACCTGTCGACATTTGGGCATGCGGCGTCATTCTTTACATCCTTCTCGTTGGTTACCCGCCATTTTGGGACGACGATCAGCACCGACTGTACGCTCAAATAAAGGCAGGCTCCTACGATGTAAGAATCCTTCGTATTCCCTAAACGTTTAATCGTATATCTAAGGATTCATTTCTTAATGTTTTCTTGTTCAGTATCCAAGCCCAGAATGGGACACCGTCACGCCAGAAGCAAAGAATCTTATCAATCAGATGTTAACGGTAAATCCAAGCAAAAGGATTACCGCGAACGAGGCATTGAAGCATCCATGGATCTGCGTAAGTTTTTTAATCCCTAGTTACACGAATAACAAATATTCTTTATCTATTATATATTTATCATACGAATAACCTGAACATTTTCTTTATCGTTTTACAGCAACGTGAGCGTGTTGCATCGGTGGTGCATAGGCAAGAGACTGTGGATTGCTTGAAAAAATTCAATGCAAGACGCAAATTAAAGGTAAGCTTTTCCTCTTTCATCGGAGAAACGCGTCGACGTCATAGTTTTCTAGATTAGGTTAAGATTATCGTCGATAATGGTTCCTCGTGTATGAACGGACATATTCCTAAAATCGTTCCTTATCGCGTTCGGTATTCTCATTGTAAAAGTAAGTGATAATATCTGTCGTAAAAATTCATTGGATTAATCCTTTCCGTCTGGTCCTTTAATATTTAGACCCAATTAACAATCCGGACATCGTTATTACGATTAATCGCTTTCTTTCGTCTCTTTTTTATCAGGGCGCTATTTTGACGACGATGTTGGCGACGCGGAACTTTTCCAGTAAGTATGATGCACAGGGTAAGTACCTCCGGCCCTCTTCAGCGCTTCATGGACCACGACGGACAGTACTTTTATAACCCCCTATTAAACTTTACATACCCTCTTCCACTTCTCTCTCTCTCTCTCTCTCTCTCTCTCTCTCTCTCTCGATCTCTATCTATCTATCTATCTATCTATCTGTCTCCCACCATATCTTTCTTGCAAACTTTTCACGTCCTTTCGTTCATACCCGTCTTGCATCCTTGTCATTAGAAAATAATCTGCTCATTTGCCTCTTCGCTCATTTCGATCGGTGCTCCATAATGTGCTGTGCACGCGCCATTTTCTATTTTATCGATCGAATGATCTATCTTCGATTAGAAATTAGATTCCTACATTATCTATCATGACGAACGATCTATGCACGATCACAAATATATGGAGCACCCATACGTATTCTTACATTATTCCAACCCCAAACAAAATTCTTGCTCGTGCACATGAAAATCTGAGAAAGCCTATTTCCGTCGGAACGGTCGACCCATTCGAATTTTTGTCCAAAAATGAAAGAGGAGCGAGGCTGAAACATTCGTTCTCGACGAAGATACTAGCTGATCTGGCCAAATTGGAAAATAATCCCTTCATCATTTTCGTTAGAGTAGAACTTATTTTCTTCTCTTTCTCTCTCTCTCTCTCTCTCTCTCTCTCCCTCAGTCTCTATGTCTCTGTCTCTCTCCTTTTACTCTCTAACGAATCATCGTAATTTCATCCTCGCTCGCTCAGTGTAACACATTTGAAACATCTTTCAGATGTTTCATCCACAAAGTGCTCGTATATCCTCATAGTCGATGCACTCCGCTCGCACACCTCATATATCCTGCAAGGAACATTAAACGTTACCCAGAAATAAAAGAAACGAATTCCTTGCTTCGTAGTCGATTTGAAAACTTAATTATTGCTATTGTTATTACTATTATCATTATTATTCTTTTCTCTCTCTCTCTCTCTCTCTCTCTCTCTCGCTCTCTCTCTCTCTCTCTAATCTCATTTCAACGAAGCGTGATTCTGGGTAACGAAAATCATCGTCGCAGTGGACTCAAGCAGTTTTCTTCTCATCGACGTCACGTCATCGTTAACTCGACCCTAATCACCGGAGTCATGCTTCGTCATTTTGAAAACGAAATTCCTTAAGAAAAATCATTTGTAAAATGAAGAGAACTTTTTTACACTTTTTCATTTTATTTAATCGGATATATTTCGAGCAATTAACGATGAGGCGAATAATAGTTAGTGACTTTTCGATGACTCCTTTACATAATAACAGTTATATATCCGCATTGCTTTCGTCAAATACTTATCGACGTTCAACGCCAATGTCCATTTGCGTATACGCAGAGTATACAAATGCGAGGGTATATCAAATTAAAATCCTCTTAAGCGATTGTCAAACAATCATTACGGTCTAATTACAGGCATACGACGCTGCTACGTATCAATTCGATTGCTTGTAAATTAACGTGCTCGATGTAATCGCCTTGAAAATATTTTTCACAATCAAGGTCTCTCAGGTGTTCTTTCTTTTTTATTTTTTTCTTTTTTCCTTTTTTTCCGCCAGTGTTTCTTCCAATCATTGAGCGAACAAAAAGTATGGCGTCTTCGATCGCGGTCATTCAAATTTTTCAACAATAATTCTCTTAACGAATCACAAACGATAGTCAACACGTAGTCGAAATGAATCTAATCTGTTTTATCGATAGACAAATTAGGCAAATAGAGAATGTCACAGAAAGAAAGAAAAAGAAAAAAGAAAAGAAATCGTTTCATAGGATCGAAACGTGAATTCTCTCAACTGTTTCGGTCCACTTGCGAGAGTACCTCCGAATGATTGTGCTATATTGTATTGCAATTATTCGCGTTGCATATAAGTGTTTTATCCTATCGTAATATTAAACAAGGTTTCAAGATTTCAAACCTCTAATATGTATTTATATTTTTTTTTTCTTTTATCATCATTCTTCTCCACATTTAGAATTTTGTTTAATAACAAACGTAATCCCATTTTTATTGGATCTTAAATATTGATTAATACATACTCGTTTAGTTTCATTCAAGAGAATTAGATTAAGAATGATAACGTGTATCAATTCGGTATTCTCTTTTTAATCATTTCAATGTGATCGCGCGTAAAACACAAAAGATCTTGTATTTTAATCGATCATTTTTCTTCCTCTATAATTTATTTTTATTATCTCATTTCATTGGTATCTCTCCATAATTCTAAATGTGGAGTTAAATACTGATTTACCTGATTTATTATTTACCATATATGTAAATGTATATATTATATACAAAATTTAACATGTTATATGCATGTATGAAATATACACATACGTGTATACTATATCTGCATATATAATATATACGTCTATTCGATTATAGCATATGCGCACGCGTGCTCGTAAGCATCCTTTGATAGGTGCACGAGAAAGTGCATACATACATTTTTCTGTGCATATATATATATATATATATATATATATATATATATATATATAAAATATATAAATATGCAGAATACATACATAGATACACGGATATACACCTCAGTGGCATAACCATCCTTCTACGAGCTCGAAAGGAATTTTTTTAGCTCGAGTAAAAAATGTAAAACTTCAAAAAAAAGAAAAAAAAGAAAAAAAAAAGAAAGAATTCAGAATTTTGAGGTTACGTCACTGACTAACACGCACATTTTTGTGTGTGACATATAAATAGCACCCATTACGTCTACCTAGAATGTCTTTGCCCTGATCTCCTCCCATTGCCTTCTCCATCATCCACGTCTCACCCACCCAATATAATCTATTTATTTTTTTCCTTACGATTAGTCGAATAGTTGAGCATCTTGCACCATTATTAGAAAGGACCAATGAACGTATACGGTCTGTATACGTATAACCTTACATTTATTTATCATTTTTTCGATTATTTGAAAAAACACAAAGGCCCAACACATTTACCAATTCATTCGATTGAAATCGCTCAAGTATTAACTTTGATTATAACGTGAATAAGAGTTTCTAATTAATCCAGGAAGAGACAACAACAACAACAACAATGGATGATGCATCGACGTTATCGAAATTCGATAAAATATTCATCGCGAAATATTGATTTATTTAACTCGTACTGTATTCTTTTGTTTTTCATATATCGCAAAATATCAGATGAATTTAAATCTCTCTCCCCCCGACCCCACCCCACCGCTAATAATAGCAACAATATAATAAGGAAAGGCAAAATATCGCACGTCATTCATATTTCATATAATAAGAATCGCTTACATTAGATATGTACTTACTTACCTAAATTCGAATTAACGATTTTCACAAAACACATAACTTGATCAATCTTTTATCGTGGATCTTCTGCGACAGATTCGATTCTTTAGAGAAAAAAATAAAAAAAATAAACGATCATCGATCGATCGAAGAAAGAATCGAATCTCATTCATTATTCTGTCTCTCTCTCTCTCTCTCTCTCTCTCTCTCTCTCTCGCTCGCTCTTTCTCTCTCTCTCTCTCTCTCTCTCTCTCTATCTCTCTCTCTCTCATGTTTTATCCAACATGTCCCAAAGTCGATCGGTATCCTCTTTCGCGTTCTCCCAAGATGTCACGTTATATATAAAAAAATTCAAAACTTTTTTGGTAGATCGACGTATAAGAAAGATTTATCGCATTTATCGCATTTAAATACGCAATAAATAAATTAAAATCGTACAAATCGTCGTACTAAAGAAAACAACAATTGAATCGTCATACGGCAAACTTTATATCAAAGTAGTACGTATTTCTTAGATAGGTGGCAGCACGAAAAACTTTATCCGACGCGTTGTTTTTCGCGCGTATTAATATTACTCTCGTGACTTTTCGTCCGCTAGCAGGAACTATCGCACCGCACTTGATTTATATTTCACTTTAATCTCATAGTCGAGAAAGAACATATTTTCTGAATATTAATTTGAAACGGTGACTCCACACTTCTACCGTAGTTTCATCCATGGATTTAACAGGTAGCTTTATCAAATTTTTTTATCGCGAGTAGGCAATTTTTTTTTTTTTTTTTTTTTTTTATTACGACATAAATACGTACATACGGATCATCCGTGTGTACATAGACACGTACGTACATAAGTAATATTTTAGGTTAACCTTTCTGCGATCTAACATAATTCGAATGTAGATTCAATTAATTTATCTTCGTTACTTTACGAATGAAATTCAATTAGGAGATTAGAATTTCGTTAGAAAAATAACGATTTAAGTTGTAAGTAATTGTTGCACGGATTTTCTTCAGTCGTTACATCAGCGACTACTTTAAGAGAATGCTATTTACTAAATCTCTTGGAGTCTCCAAACTTCTTAGTTTCAAACTTTAGAGAGAACGTAACAAATGTTTCTCATTCTCTCTCTCTCTCTCTCTCTTTCCCCCTTTCTTTCTCTCTTTCTACTTTTCTTTTTATTTTCTTGCTGTTCGAAAGCAGGAAACAAGATGGCGAAATTCGACGATCAAACTTCAATCAAAAGAGAAAGATAAAAGATGAAGGATACAAATGTACAACCTGGTATCATTTAATCTCACTAATTATTTATCTTCTTAAACTGAGAAAGTTTCGAAAAATTGCCAACTGTCTCTCTCTTTCTATTTATCTTTCCCCACTTTTCTTCGAATTTTTCAGAATGAAACGAGATAATGAATATATTTGTATTACGACAAAAAGATTAGGTTAGAAGAGATTAATTCCAATTTCAATTTATCCGTCCGCATAAAATTGGGAGAACGTATAGAAGTCCGATCGCAAATCATAAAAATAATGAAGGAAGACAAACATAATCCATTCTATACCATTAATTTTTTTCATATATGTATATATATATATACTTTTGTCTTTTTCTTTCTTTCTTTCTTTCTTTCTTTCTTTCTTTCTCTCTTTCTTTCATTCATTCATTCATTCATTCATTCATATGTTCATTCTTTTTCTTCTTCTTCCGACAAAGGTACTCTATTTTTGATTTGACACGAAGCGGGTCGGAGGTGCTGTGCTAATCACACGATCGAAAGTCTTGTGTAACTTTGTCGACGTGCTATCTGTTTGACAAGATGGCAAAAGTGATTTAAATGAACAATTTTTATCACGTGACGACAAAACAATTTTTATACACTACGAAACCGATTTTCGACAAGCTGAGTTATTTTTTTGCCTTGTCTTTCTTTCTTCTTTTCTTTTTATCTTTCTTACTTTCTTTTCTTTTTTTTTTTCTTTTTTTCTTTTTATTACTTTAATCTTCGCTTCGACGAATTAAATCCGCTCGATCGAATTTCTGCGATTTTATTCTATTATTTCTCTCTCTCTCTCTCTCTCTCTCTCTCTCTCTCTCTCTCTCTCTCTCTCTCTCTCTCTCTCTCTCTCTCTCTCTCTCTCTCTCTTTCTCTTTCTCTCTCTCATTGGTCTTTCGAGTACTACTACTATGTATTACTACTTACTTAATTAGAAAGAACTTTGGTGTTTTCGTAATTTCTGTCATCTCGATCGAATCGAAAATCGAATCGATAATCGAATCGATTTAAGATATCGCAGGACTCGAATCGAGTGGGGTATCTAATACATTAGTCTCTGAATTGCATTTGGCATGCCAACGTTTTCCAATCTAATTCGTTTTTGCATTTCTACGATCTTGCCTTATTTTTTTCCCTTTTTCCTCGTTTTCTTTTTTTCCTCCCCATCTTCGCTATTTTTTCCTTTCTTCTTTTTATTTTATTTTATTTCATTTCATTTTATTTTATTTTATTTTATTTTATTTTATTTACCTTTCTTTTCTTTTTCAAATTGCTCAGGGTACGATCGAAGATTGGCTTCCTTTCTTTTTATTTGCTCTTTTCTTCTTAATATTTCTTTTCCTTTTTCGTTTTCGTTTTCCTTTCGTCTTAGCTTAGATTATTAAGATGTTTTCGCATAACTTTTACAACGAACCATACTAAATATATTCCATATAATTCGCATGTGGCTCTCGTACGGATTTAGTTTTAGTTTCTCGTAATAGTTTAAGCACGTGCCTCTTGCATGATTATTATTTTATAGTTACAATAATATATTCGCGAGCTTTCGAGTGAGTTCCTTTTAATGGGAGCTATCCCGAATAAAGACAAATGTTTATTCAAGTTCCAGATACATGGCATTGGAATCATGAAAGCTATCTTGATAGCTTAGACAAAAAATACAATTGCATGATAAACATATATATATATATAGATGATTGAGCATGTTTGTTTTTTTCACTTCCGTTTTTGTGTAATTTTGTGTCTCTCTCTCTCTCTCTCGCTCTCTCTCTCTTTCTCTCTCTCGCTCGCTCTCTTTCTATCTCTCTTCTCCTATCTATTACATTTCCTTCCTTCTTAGCTTTCTACGGACACCCTTTTCTATCTTTTGAACCTCTGTTATAGTCGATACACAATATTACATTGTTCTTGAAAATTACAAATTTTTTCTTGCTTTTAACGGTAAAAGAGTAAAATAATAAATAAATAAAAGAATTTACAATAGTCCCAGAAAAATCTTACTCGTTTTCATTTTCTTTTTAAATTCACACATAAGTATTGTCTATGCTCGAAGATGGCAACGTTTTAATACGTTACATTTTTCTTTCAAGAAAGAAACAAAAATTATCTCGTCTGTTTCGCGATGGAAAAAAAAAAAAACACAAAAAAAAAGCAAAAGAAAAAAGCTATATTCCTCTTTTTTATTTTTCTCCTAATTTCCTTAATTTGTTTGTTCTTTTCGTCCAACTTTCTCTCTCTCTCTCTCTCTCTCTCTCTCTCTCTCTTTCTCTTTCGCTCTCTCGCTCTCTCGCTCTTACACTATCTCTCTATCTTTTTTTCGTTGGTTGTTTCTTAAAAATAATAAAAATTTGTCGAGAAATTCGTACTGAGAACGTCCAATGTCGATTTATTGAAACGCTCTGCGCACTCCAGGTCGAAGCATCATCACGAAGAAGGGCGATGGTTCTCAGGTGAAGGAATCCACCGATAGCAGCACAACGATCGAGGATGACGATGTCAAAGGTAAGAAATTCGTTTCCTTCTTTGTGCTCTCCATCTATCCCGATAAAAAAAGTATCGTTATAAATTATTCAATGTACATGTCTATACGGCGTGTATATCTGTTAGATACATATACCTAAAAGGTATATACCTTACATACAGATACGTATATCTTTTTTTTTTTTACGATTAATTGATAAAAGAGTGCACGAAGAAGAAGAAACTCCCAAAATATAATTATATATATTTATTCATGATTTTTTGAAGAAACACATATCATCGTTGATTATTATCTATTTCATACATACATATATATATATATATGTGTGTGTATGTATGTGTATATGTATGTAAATACGATAAATGAGAAATATGATCGCTTGATCAAACGTCGATTTTTTTTTTTTTTTTTTTTTTTACTTAATCACTTCGAAGAACATACTCTACGAATTTAATGAGAAATACAATCTTAAAGATCCTACGATACCAACTGGATTTATTTAATGTAGATTAAAAAAAAAAGAAAAAAGGATAAAGAGTAAAGAAAAGGAACGTACTGCGACACGTGCACGCACTTTGATTCGTTATTGAAACAGATCATGATCTTTGATTATCACGTGCAAATCGGTAACTCGATCTGTAGTTACAACGATTAACGAGTTGTCATTCGGAATTTTGTTTAATTTTTTGTTTAATTTTTTTTTTGTAATATATTTTCTTTTTTTATTTATTTCTTTTTTTTTTTTTTTCTTTTTTTTAAATTAAACATAGAAATACTAATATCTCTCGAAGAATTCGTCGAATGGCAACGCGTTAATGATATCTCCTTATTGTTTTCCCCGTTCCAATTCCTCAACTGTTACAATTTTACTAATACAGTTATTTAGATCTCAGAGATTCGTTCAGCGAGTACCGATTTTCGAGAAAAATACATTCTTTAATATTTTCTCTCGAATTATATTTATCTGATCAAGTAAAAAAAAAAAAAAAAGAAACGAAAGAAAAAAGAAAAAGAATTCATGAGAATTCCACAGGATAGGCCATCCATCATTTTAGTTACAAAGGATCTTGTAATTATACAAATGAGAATCCATCGTGCATGCCGTCACCCTCTCGCCCCAAATCCATTAACTTAAATAAAAGATGAATCATCTTTGTTAACCTTGTACATATTCATATGTTAAGGTAGATTATAATAGTTTTGTACTCGTCGAATTATTATTTCTTGTAAGATTTATTTAAAAAAAAAAAAGAAAAAAGAAAAGAAAAAAAAAACGGAACAAAAAAGAAAACAAGAAAGTAATGATGGATACGGTGGCCTGTCCCAATTTGTTGCCGTTGCAGCTACTGCACTTGAAATTTACTGCTTAACGAATCTCTACGTTGATAATTGAGGGTTGCGAGAAAAACACGAATAAAAAATTCGTCCGTAATCCCTCCTCCCTCCCTCGTAATTGTATATGCGGATATATCGAGAACGTTTTCTTCCCTCAAAAGTATTTTATCGTAGAGTAATCGATTTGTTTCCCTCCCTCCCTCCCTCCCTCCTCCTCCTACTACTACTAACTCCTATTCCTATTCACCGTTTCTAAAGTTTCTCCTTGTAATCGACGAACACGTACACGGACAATTCCTTATTCCTCTCTAATTTCTAAATCATTATATATGTATATGTATATATACATATATATATATATACATATACATATACATATATATATATATATACGCATACATCTCTCTCTCTCTCTCTTTCTTTTACTCATTCTATCTTATTTCCCATCTCCTTCCATATCTCTTCGTTCCTTCGAATACTTCATGACTCTCGATAATGTTCTTGAAAGCATCGTGCATTCTCAAACTTGCTCCTCTCGATCGCTCGCTATTATTGATCGTCGTGTTACACGCTCTTTGACACATTTACATGTTGGAAAGTTGTTTTTGAATTCGTGAGCGCTGGTAGGCATTTTGTTGTGGCAGACACCCGCTTAACGGCAAGGTTTTACTTAACAATACTCGTTATATATCGCGACAGATAGAGAAATTCGATCGAATTGAAAAAAGGGAACAAAAGGGAGCAAAATACAAAAAAAAAAAAAAAGAAAAAAGCAAAGAAAAAGAAAACTCCAAAAAAATTGACGAAAAGAAAAATAAATAAGAAAAATCGATAAATAAATGAAGGAGACATTGTATATAGTGCAGGCTCGTATCCATGACTGACACGCACGTCTTATTATTTATTTAAAGAATTCAAATTAATAAAAATAACTAGACGACAATCTCCGTTCGATCAATTTCGCATTGTTGTTTATTCCATTTCTCTCGGCAAGTTTTCGCAAGCACGCACGGTCATCAACGTTCGTAGTATACTTGGGATTTTGGTTCTAATATCTATCTAATGTATCTATCTATCTATCTATATATATATATATATATATATATATATATATATATACATATACATTCACATATATACTTGTTTTGTTTCTTTTTATTTATTTTTTAATGGAATTGACTCGTCTATTTATTTTTTGGTCTCTGTCAATCTTTCTCTTTCTCTCGATATATATATATATATATATATATATATATACATATATATATATACATATATATATATAAGTATATTATACGTAGTAGTCGAAGGAAGAATTTTAGCGCGTATAATGATCTCACGATTGAGAATCCTTTGCGTGCATGCATCCTAGGCATTCCTTCATCCCGTACACAGTATGCCAGATGAATTTCATTTGCTTTTAAGCGCCAGGCACCGCATCATAACGCGTCTACGCACTTCACTTACTCCTTTTACGAGCTTCGACGAATTATCGAAGTCAAGGAGGAGACGGATGAATAACCTTTTTCAATGGAGATGATCCTATTAAAAAAAATAAATAAATAAAGAGGCGCAAATCTAGACTTTCTGAAAGAATAAGAGAATTTATTCAGAAATCGATAACACGTGGAAGATGGGAGGATAATTTAAATCTTCGGCGAATAGAATCCTCTTTTTTTTGTCAATTATTTTTCTCTTTCTTTCTTTATTTTTTTCTTTCTTTCTTTCTTCCATTCTTTCTGTATTTTTTCTTCTTTTTTTATTTTTTAGATATTAATCCTTTCTAAATACTTCAACAGGCTGTCGTGTTATGTCATGTCGTATATGTATTTACGACTATCTGGATTTTCTTGGGGAAAAAAATGATTAGAAAAATGAAAAAAAAATAGATAAAAGAAACAGGCTTATCGATCTTTCTCATTAACATATATCGAATATGATAGCGATGTCTGGCTTGCATATATATATATATATATATATATATATATATATATATATACATATGTATATATTTCCGTGTGTTGTAAAATTCGTGGGAATTTTGCAGCACTAATACAGTGGATCGAGAATGCGAACCGTGAGTAAACATCGAAAGTACAGTAACTTTGCGAACGTCAAAATTTTGACGATGTTTTTAATTAGCGAATATTATAGCAAATGTTATATCACGCTGTAGTTAGTTAACGGCGCCGTTTCAGAGCCATAGAGATATGTATTTAAATAATATATTCGTCAAGCTCGCGTGTTCGGACACGTTTTGAAAAATGAAACATTTTTTTATCTTTCCTTTTTCTATAATTACAATTTATTTACAATATAATGTTAGAATATCTGTTGAATAATTTTCCAATGTAATCGATAGATTGACGATTAATGGGGGATCACAAAGTATAGAATAAAAAAATTTCAACTCGAATCGTTCCGATCCAACGCGGTTTATATAGACGATTAAAATTTCATTACTGTTATGAGAAAATGCAATTAGCATGTTCGTAATAAGTTTATCGTTTCTGCAATGGCGCCATTAAATTCTCGGATATTTTCTTTCTTTTTTTTAAAGTAACATGGTACGAGCCGCGAATATAAATTTCACCTAAACTACTACCACCACTATCAGCTACAAGCCGGAATTCCTTCGTCGAGTAGTAATATGTTTGTAGGTTTAGCAGCAATTTAGCGAGTATTAGCGAGTATTAGATCTGATTCGATAAAAGATATTACATATTAAACGAATATCGTTCTTGAACGAAAAGAAAGAAAATCTTGAAACGAAACAATTTATAATCCGTGATAATAAAATTTTTTGCAATTTTCTTTCTTTCTTTTTTTTTTTTTTTCTTTCGTCCAAATTCTACGAGAAAAATTATTAAATGGATTGAGTCTTGTTAGCGACATTAGTTATATATCTAATATTAATAATAGCTTTTTCATGTTTGCTTTTATAGACAAAATTTAGACGCGGATTACGTGTAAACGTATGAACTAGCATACGAATCGTGCAATGTGAATATGATTCGTTGTTTAAGGAAGAGAAAAAAAAAGTGGACAATCCGTATCGATCAATCGCAACCTCTAGTTTTGATCTATCAAAATTGTTTCTATTAAACGGTGAATGCAATATATCTGTTAGTTTCGTCGTTGCCGATGTTAGATCCGACGATTAGACGTATGTAGGTATGTACGTAGGTATGTATATAGCGTTAGATGTTCGCCGGTAGCCACGATATGGCGAACGCATCCTATATATTCCTTTTTTTTTTCTTGATTCCCACTCCCCCCTCCCATAACTTATGTGCACTCGATATAATCAATCTCTTGTTTCCAATTTGTTTATTATATTTTCTACGTGTCTCCTTTTTTTCGTCTTTTTTTCTTTTTTCTTTTTTTTTTTCTTCTTTACAAATCAGTCGCAACAATCTTGTTCGTTGCACTTCTACCCAGTTGCACTGAGTATTATACGTCGATCCCTATAAAATATTTTTCACACATTTCAATTAATATTCAAATGATAAACCAAACCCCTCTTTTCCTAGCATCGATTTATACGACAGCATACACGATCCCTCTCTTAATCTTTTGCCTCTCTCTTTTTCTCTATTTATCTATCTATCTTTCCCTTTCTTTGATCACAAATCTCAACGCGATGCAAAATCTTAATCGTCTCTCGACGTCCCTTCAAAAAATATGCACGCGAGCATTATTTCTGTTTACGTTCTATAGCATATTCGATCGTCAAATTCGGTTTTATGGATTTATGAATACCTGGCACCAAATTCCCTACACGGAATGATCGACCAAAAAAAAAAAGAAAAGAAATCGTACGTCCCTTTGACTGCTTCCTTTTGATCTCTTCGATCTCTCTTTCGTTTCTATTTCTCTCTCTCTCTCTCTCTCTCTCTCTCTCTTATTTTTATTGTTTTTTAATGTTCCTTTTAATCATTACTCTCTCACATTTCTCTTGAACTGTACCGCTTTGTCGTTCGTCAGCCAGTGTACGTTAATTATGACGATGGATCGTAGCAATGCATGCGCTTTGTCCCATGTTCTTGCACGTCCATTTAAAATGTCCATATGTCCAAAGGAAATGCCTGGCTATTACCTCTTGCCAATGCATCGTACACTATGTATTCTACTTATTGCATTTAAGTGTTACAAACTCTACCTACTGCAAATGTATATATATATATATATATTTGAATGGTCATTTAACGTTGGCAAATATCAACTGTATATATATATATATATATATATATATATATATATATATATACACATATATACAGTTGATGTTTGCCAATGTTAAATGACCATTCAAATATATGCATCGTCCTTAGCGAGAACGTTTTCTTCGTCGTTTCTTTTGTTGTTATAGTAAAAAGTCGTCGTCAATGTGTATGTATGTATATATTTATGTATATACATGGATGTATGTATGTACGTAGATATATGTGGTGCACGTTTGGTACCGATTGGAAGTTGAAAATTATTTTATTTTGACTTGTTATGAATAAGGAACGAATGTTATATACGAATTAGTTAAACGCAAAGTTAAACTTTATAAAATTGATATTGTAATGTAAAGGCGAGATAACAAAAAAAAAAGAAAAATGAAAACAAAATGATCGAGCTCATTCGTTCTTTATTAATTGACATGGTTTCTAAATCTACCTTCTCTTATAACCGAGAATCATGCAATTTCCGACATTATGAATGGAAAGTCTTGCACGTTTTTTCTTCTTCTTCTTCCTCTCTCTTTTTTTCTATTTATTAATCACCACCTGCTCGAGTCATGATCTATTCATGACGCATCGAGAGATCCGCACGATCGCTAAAAGTGCGCTGCACCATTCCGGCACTTTCCCATAGATTTTTCTTTCTTTTTTTTTTCTATATATATACATATACATATACATTTATATATATATATGTATATGTATATATATATATATATAAATATACAAGTAATAAATCTCAAATCAACTCTTCCAATTGGTCCATCGAATGACAAATCCTCTTCGATATATAAAGCCTAAACCGTGACCGTAACGCACGTGTCCCCATTCGCATCAGTCCTACTTTATGGAAATAAAAGAAAAATATCCAGAAATCTTGAAACTTAAAAAAAAAAAAATAAAGAAACGTTAAAATAACTAGAAAAGACAAGGATATAGAAAAAAAAAATAGAAAGAAAAAAGCAGCTGCGTATTACGTTCGCTCGTATATATATATATATATATATATATATATATATATATATATATATATGTATATGTATACGTATGTACGAACACTCGCATAGATTTTCAATGCATTTTTGTTGACATACAAAAAAGAGATAAGAAAAGCGATTCCAACGAATACAAAAGGTTTTGTCGCTCGCCGTTTATTTGTTATCAGTGTTGCTAAAAAGCTTGATGATCGATTGGTCTCTTTGAAAAAAAAAAGGCTAAAGAAAAGTAAACGATAAGATGTTGTCATGATTTTTATAATTCTTCTCCATTCGTTTATATAAATTCTTTTTTTTTTTTGTTTCTATGTTTCTTTTTTTTTCATAGAGATCAGCGACGTCGACTCTCGTTTAAAAATTGATAATGCCAGAACGAGAATTAACTCTCGTCGGGATGCAACGAATGAAAGATAAAATATATGCAGGACATGGCTGATATATGTATATACGTAGAAAAAAGATATGTATGTATGGATACGCGTGTATATATATATACATGTGCGTATATATATATATATATATATATATATATATATATATATATATGTATCTATATATTGTCAAACAAAATAAGGAAAGAAAGAAAGAAAAGAAAAGAAAAAAAGAGACATGCGTTATGTAATTGATATCTTTATCACATATTCGTATAGGTGATGTATGTGTGTATGTTGTACAGAGGATAAGAAGGGCGGCGTCGACCGGAGCAGCACGGTCATTGCCAAAGAACCCGAAGGTAACATAATTCAAAAAATAAGAAAGACCGAGAAACGTGATCAACGTTTCGACGTCTTTCTTCTGTGTATACATATTATGTAATTATATATTTATTATGTATTATATAAGCGCATAATATATTTTTCTATTTCTTTTTCTTCTCCTTTTTTTTTCTTTTTTTTTTTTCTTTTTTTTTTTTCTTTTTTTTTCATGCGGAACGCGCAATTCACACCATTCATCTAATTTCCATATTTTAAAATGACAATTTCATTTTTTACGAACTAACTAATCCTACTTCATTAGACGCGCGTCCAAATGAATATATGTATACATACATATATATATATATATATATATATATATGTATATATATTATATAATGTAATGCGTGTAACACACGTGCGTGCTTTCTCCGAGTAATCGTCGCGAACACGCGTATACCTCCTTTATGAATTTTTTTTGTTACCGGCACGTTGGCACACCACCAGCGAGTGATCGCACCATTGCACATTTATATTTCATAGTGATAATATATATATATATATATATATATATATATATATGTGTGTGTTAAATAATGTGGTTAAAAAAAAAAAAAAAGAAAAAAAAGGAGAGAAAAAAAGAAATAGAAGTATATATTTGAAAGGACGAGAAAGTGTTTCAGCGTGCCATCGAAATCATTTTTTCAAACATTTTGTATTTCGATATCATCTCTCTCTTTCTCTCTCTCTCTCTCTCTCTCTCTCTCTCTCTCTCTCATTCTTTCTCTCTTTTTCTCTCGTTTCGTCGGAAAAGGGAAAGAAAAAATCGAAAAAAAAGTTGTTCTTTTCGTTCGAAGGGATGCCGAGGGTTGATATCGAAAAAGTGTGTCCGTTTCGGAGACGAATGTTTATTTTTTTCTTCTATTTTTTTCCCCTATATTTTTTTTCTATATACATACATATATATATATATATATATATATATACATATACATATATATATTTATATATAGAAAGAAAAATTTTGCGTCGAGCTTCCAAATCAAGCTTTTGTTGCGCCCTGTTTGTTCCAGCTTATCCGCTAAATCGTGCGGTGGATCGACCGTCTTTCCAGACTCCTCTCTCTCTCTCTCTCTCTCTCTCTCTCTCTCTCTCTGTCTGTTTTTTTCTTCTATCTCTATCTTTCTCTTATACGCTCCTTTCAAAAAACGGACTAATAGTTTATGCTTGCCCGACTGATGATGGTCCCTCTAATCGTATCAGCGATTAATCTTTAACTTAAAACATTCGAATTTTTTGCACGAACAAATTAATGTGTCGTGTGTCCCTTCGTGCGAACTAACAAAGACTCGATATTCTTAATGCGTTATAACGAAGAATAAGGAGGACACTGATTTGTTTTTCTTACAAAAAAAAAAAAAGAAAGAAAAACGAGCAAAGCAAAAAAATTGAGTATTGAAAAATGGTTCGAGGAATTGCGTTTCTGATATAGAGAAAAAATTTTTTTTGTTTTTTCTTTATTTTTTCTTCTTTTTTTTTGTCGTATCTGAGAAACTTGTAACACATTTTTAGAATGTCACGCTCGTACGGAGCAAATGTTTTCAAATTTAATCCGGTCAATGCGCCGGGTCGGTAAAACATAGACGGACAGATCTGTCTGTCCTCTTGGCATTACATTTTGAAAATAGATCCGGAGCAGTCCGCAAAGTTCGTTCGATGGAGCAACTCGCGTTCTACGCGGTACTTTCTATGCGTTCGAAAAGTACGTATAAATCACTAGCAACGTCGTTATACTTCGCGTACGTTCCTTAATTAATCAGGAATCGTTTTCTAGTCATTCTCTCGTATCTATCTCTTTCTTATACAAACTCTCGAGATGTTCCTCTTCGAGGATAATCGAAAATGTCGATGATCGTTGACACGGCGAGCTCGTCGAAACAGGGCAACAATCACGGTGGGTCCTTTTTCTTACTCGATTCAATCCTGACATCGAGGAACCATCGATTTTTTTGATTTCGATCGATCGAAATCTTAACAAACAGACAAATCCCTTGCGTCCTCTCTACGTCGATGTCCTTCTCCTTTCGAGAAAAACGTCTTCGATTTGTTTGCTTCGACTGACGTTTCAATTTGTAGAATGGCTCCTTAATCCTTAACTCATTGTACGATAGCTAGAAAAGTTATTTATTCGCATTGACCACCGAGACTACGTTTACCTTCAAAGACTCGAGAGGGAGAGAGAAAGAGAGAGGGAGAGAGAAAACCAGTGTCAATCATGATCGAATTGAAAAGTATTTGATCTGGACGCAAGGAAGATTTTCGAATAAGAAAAGCAACGAGCGAGTACATCCGACCGATTAGATCTCTTCCTCGAGTGTACTTTGAGAAACTCGTTTTCAACCGAGCAAACGACTCGCTCGTTTTAGATAATAGTAATAGTAGTAGTAGTATCTGCTCGATTTACGATCTATTTCAAGAATGCTTTTTGTCTATTTCTCTGCGTACAAGGTCGTCGTACAAGCGAGAGAAAATCTAGATCGCGTCCAGTTAATCTTTGAAGGTTTTGGCACTGGTAACCATTCTAAACTGGCACGTGGAAATTCTAACGTGTAATATATTATTCGATCATACGTAATAATCGAATCGTAAGCCTCGTCTTCATCTCTTTCGAAACACAATGTGTTTCATTTAACGTTCATAATGGACAAACAAAAGTCGACGTCTAACGAAAGAGGAAGAATCTAGTGCTCGAACTAACACGTTCTCGATTAAAATGTTTTAAATCTATCCTCTCCCTTTATTATTAGCGATCGAAACGCGGTTATGAGACACGCCTGATCGAGGATTGGACCCGAGTTAACTCCGTCCGAGTTGTTATTTTCCTGCTTTGGCACGTTCTTCTTCGAATATATCCCTCAGATTTTAGAACGATATATTTCTGATCTCTTTAAACGAAGGATCGGGTTCCGGGGGTGGTGTAACACCGAGCAATCCAGGAGGTGCTCTTTTCTCCTTGGTAGATAGCACTACGTGCGGTCTCCTCAACAAGCAACCTACTACCAGTCAGGGCCAAGCACAGGCACAAATTCTAAATCAGAGCCAAGTTGGTTCGAGTCAAGTGACTGGTCAAGCGACGAGTCAGCCGACGGGTCAGGCTCAAGTACAGCCAACGGCCAGTCCCCTCGGATTAGCCGCTGTACTCCTTCAGGGAGCGCAAGGTAAATGCGTGTGACGTCGAGTGTGTGGCTGCTATCCACGTTACTAGAAATATCTTTTTTGTTTAACGAACAAAAAAATGATTTTTCCTGATGATGAGAAATTGTCTTCGATTAGGCGGAAGACTCAACAATGCGATAAGAAAATGTGTCAGAGGGAGAGAGAGAGAGGAAACGGCTTTATCCCTTTATTATGCGGACGGATCAAAGACTTACTTTAGGACAGCTCCTTTCATATCGCACGATAATAGAGTTTTACTATAATATGCCTTTGAAAATTAGCCTTAGCGACGTAGCTTTTAAGTTGTGTTCATTAGACCCCAAGCGTTAGGATAGTTTCGTATTTTACGAGCGCGTTAGAAGGAAAACCGCGATAACGTCGACGAACGAAGACGTTCGTTTGTTCCTGATGTTTTAGAGATATACCTACGTATGTACGTACGTTCCACGTCGTGGCGTAACGTTTCAGAATTATTGTAGGATAAAAGATGATGAACGTTGCTTGCGAAATGGCGACGATGAATATGTCGCATTAGGCTACGCCACGGCTCGCTCCTCCTCACGTTTATGGACGTCGTAGAGAGAATTCATGGTAAGAAAGATGATTTCGTGTTTGACTTTTATAAAGCACATCCCTTAGAATCGAAGCATGACTTGATTTTCCACGCACACGCAGTCATTCGAATCACATTATCCTTAGATCGAATCTAACGACGAGTTTGATTTTTCCTCTTCTTCTTCTTTTTTTTTTCTCTTTTCTTTTCTTTATCATTACTTCTCACGTTAAACGACGACTCGAGAATTTCGAGCGACGGACTAAGGAAAGTAAGTAGACATTGGACCTTACGTTGTTCCACTAATTTCTAATTATATCCACACGCACGCCCATATTATGTCGAAGCGCACAAAAGAAGTTTCTAAGCACGTAGTTTCTACGTAGATGGTATCGTCCTTTGTCGAATCACACGAGCACTCACCTTATCACGACATCACTCGCAAACCCTCGATCCTCGAGTACTGTCCGCTTTTTCGGTACTGTCTGATATATATATATATATATACATATATATATATATACATATATATACATACATGGCAATTAATCGTAAGAATAATACACTTTACATCGTTTATCCGTCAACATACATAATCGTATTTTTCTTCTTTAACATTTTGTTGAACGTGTGGTGTGTATCGTACCATGCGACATACATATTTATCCGATAAATTTCTAATATACCCATCCTTTCTTCGTTTTACGTTTTTGAACGCGCGAGAAGTAGTATGGAAGTAGACTGCTGGAGCAGAGAGAACAGAAAGGAAAAAAGAAAAATGTAACATCGTCTCTTGATCCATTTCATTCTCACGTATTCACATTCGCATACATATTTCCTCCTTTATATCTCTTCTCTCCTTATTCTTGGTCTACATTTCTTGGATTTTCGCTTCTGGATGATGGCTGAAACTAGCTCGTATTTTCTTTTGTTTTTTGGTTGGATTGGTTGCATGACTAGCTGGCAGCACAGGAAGCGTGGGCAGCGGTTCGAGCAATTCGAGCGGCAACAGCCAGAACAGTCAAACCGGGGCGTCGCCCTCCTCAACAGCCACGGTTTACCTCAGCAACGCCAACAACGCGCCGACGGGGGTGCCGTCGCGACGCCATGACTCCTCGGCCACCGGTCTGTAGTATAAAACGACCTCTTTATCGACCCCTCCTCCCACCCTTCCGATCCTCCCCCTTTCGAAAATCCTACGGATACGCCCAGCTTCTCGCGAATACGAAGTAATATTACTTTCGAAAGCTATTTCACATAAAACTTTACATAAAATTCGGGACGCTGTTCATTTTTCTAAAATCTTCCCAGACTTCGTAATAACTTGTTTCGATGGATTACTATTCGAAGGGTGGGGTGGGGAAAAACGAAAAAAAAAGAAAGACAAAAAAGAAAAAAGAAAGAAAAAGAAAATATCCTCCCTCTTAATCCGACGCTAACATATCTCGGTCCTTCTTTGGTCCTACATGGCACCCTTCGTTAATCCGTGAGTCTCTATATTTTTTCTCTGCATGCTCTCGCTCTCTCTCTATGTGTGTCGTGTGTTACGTGTCCCGAAACCTGTGCCATCTTGACCTGTGACATCAGAACGAGACGTTCGGCGAGCGGCCGTCTGTGGTGGTGGCCCAGCGCTGAACGCGCATCATCCCATTACGAATTGCGATGGCGAGCGCGACGACGGTAAGAAGAATATCATCGAGAAGAGTCCTAATATACCTGAGGATAATAAAAAAGCCAATGGAAAACAGGAGAAGTCGTGCTTTAGGCGGTGTAGCTTATTGTGATCGAATCGGGACAATGTTCTTTCGTTTTCTTTTCGCTTCACTTTTTTGTTTCTTTCTTTTTTTTTCTTTTTTTTTTTTTTTTTATTTTCTTCTTAGTTAAATCGTTTTAATCCGACGATCATACCGACCGTTTGAGGGATAACCGACTCATTTATACGTACACTGATCCGTACAAACTCGTACTTGAGATGCACAAAAAAAGAAAAGTATCTTATCGAAATGTCGCAAAGTTTTTCTTCATGTCAATTCTTCTTTTCTCTCTCTAAAAAGGAAAAAAAAAACAAAACCAAAGGAAACCTTAGGAAAACAAAAACAAAAAAAAAAAGAAAAATACCACAAACGCCAAGAGTATAAAATTTCGATTCGTCTCGCACGAATATTTCCGACGTAGTCCGTAAAAAAATTACTTCCATCGCCATTTCGTGTGACAATGACACGCAGCGTGCGTGCAGCACGCATATTACCGGGGTACGAGTACGGAAACGGTGCGTCATATATATATATGTATAGTTATTTTTTTTCCGAAATATTATTATTCTAACAATAAGCCCATAGGATACGTAGAAGGTTGACCATAGCTTGTCGCGTGAACGTCCCATAGAAATTTTATTTACGAAGCTTTCTACGTTAAAGATTATACGCATATATATATATATATATATATATGTACATATGTTCTCTGTGTAGGTATGCAAAGAAAACGTCTTTAATAAATATATATGTTATTTACCAAAATCTAAAGCAAAATGATGAAACGAACGCTTCCCTTTGTAAATAGTAATGTTCTCGCGCGATTACGCTCGCTAGTCACAGCTCTATGTAGTAGAAAGTAAACGTACTCCGTCTTGTTTACGTTCGGGTCATATTCTAATAGCGAGATAAATGACAAATCGTTCGAACGTTCCATGTGTATAAATATGTAATACGTACCATCGATCTCTCATTTCCACCTTGACACGAGGACTGTCAGGACCAAAATGATTTCTCGAACGTTGGGCTGCTCCTTTAAAGATCGTGAAACCAATCAAAACGAAGAGGAAAGACAGAGAGAGAGAGAGAAAGAGAGAGAGAGAGAGAGAGAGAAAGAGTTCACGGTGGGGGGGATAAGGGGGAATAGGATAAAGAGATGAAAACGAAGAGGAACGAAACAGGATGGAGAGAAAGGAGACGGTTGATCCTCTTAAACGATTATCGCTCTCGCGAGGATTAAGTTCGGCGATGTGTTAAGATAAAATATAGAATACAAATATGATGGAAAAATTATAGCTAAGTAAATAGATACATACGTGGGTACGTAGATTACGTAGATACGTAAGTAAGTACGTAACTACGTGGGAAACTAGATAAACTAGAAGACATTAGTTTTTTGCGTCGTCGCACAATTTAATCCTCTTTGGCGCCTACGCAACCGCTTCTTTTTTATGCCTTAAGAATCTCCATGCCACGTCAATTTTAATTACGAACGGGGTGTATAACATATTGCTTGTAGACATAAGAATCGTGTGTCCTATCAAGACCTGCAGCCAGCTTTCGACGAACTCCCAGTGCTCAGGTAAAGTCTGTAATTCCGTCGTAAGTTCGTTCAGCCTACAAACATTCTCATCCAGGAAATAAAGGGAAAAAAAAAATGTGATTGGTATTGAAAAATGGCGGGAACGTGCACACTGCATATCGTAGATAATCTTTTTATTTATTTTTTCTTTTTTTTTTTGTTTTTTTTTTTTTTTTCATTTTCTTGTTCGATAAAAGCGTATAATTGATTTTTCGAATCGATCTTATCTCCTCGATCTTATCTCTCGGTGTACGTTCTCTCCCTTTTATTTTTATTTTTCTTTTATTTATTTATTTTTTTTTTTTTTTTTTTCTTAGTTCTTTCGAAAGCGTATTTATCTTGCAAATACGGAAGGCCAAAGATGGTCGAGGTTATGGCAAACGAACTTACGGGACGCATAAGCGTATTGTACATAGCATATTATAGAAGACATTGTTGTTATCGAAAAAAAAAAAAAGAAAAAACATGCATTTATTGAAAATTTCCACTCGTAGAAGTAACAAAGTCGAAATTTTCACATCGATAACGATCGATCGGTCAGAAGGAATAAATAATTTAGATCAATGATTATTGTCGTACTTATGCACCGTTCGTGCGTACGCGATAACCTCCTCGCTATGCACGTCGACTCATAATGCTGCATCAATGTCCGATCGAATCGTCGATATGTCACTCATAATTTCGTATGTACATAAATGTACCGAGAACGGACGTTTCTTACAAATGTAAGAATATCGATCATCGTGGAAAGATCATGCATAATTCGAATTATGCGCAGGAGGCGTTCGTTATAATCAAAAAGAAAAATGTAGAAAGAAAAAACGTCCGTGCTCGGTTATATTCATCAAAGTATTTTTCATCAAAGTAAATCATTAGAATTTTAGATAGTATGTTTTTACGACTACCTCGAGTCCGAGCAAAAATAGTTCAGGACCCCAAGTTGTCGTAAACGAAAAAAGGAAATAAAAATATTATGCGTGTGTGTGTGTGTAAACAAAGAATAAAAAAGATAAAAAAATATTGAAACGATAAAGGTTGCTCGGAATCGGGCACAACGATCAGTTCTTATTCGAGAGAAAATGCTGGTATGTAGTGAAATAGTGACGTAATTTACAGCAGAAAAGTAGTAGACGCAGTAGAGAGCTACAAATAGGCTGGTAGTGGTGGTCGTGGCAATAAAGAAAAAAGATCCCTTCGTCGTTTGATTATCGAACAAGTCAGACGCCGCAATTTATAATCATTTTCGAAATTTTTCATACTTGTGATCACTTCACTTATCTCGCTTCATATACATCTCTTTTTACATATTTTTCTCTTAAGAATCAAAAAAAAAAAAAAAAAAAAAAAAAAAAAAAAAAAAAAAAAGAAAGAAGAAAACCAAAAAAAAAAAAGAAGAAAAAGAAAGAAAAAAGGAAAAAGAAAACAAAAAAGAGAAAAAACCTTATAAGAAAATCCTGATCGTTTGACGAGGAATCAGATCAATTAGGAAATTAAAATGTCTCTATTTTATAAGATATTACGTAAAATCCATAAAAGTCATTTCCTTTTCATGCATGCGAACGCATCCTTTAAACGATAACGAAATAATGGCCAATAACGAATGATACCTATAGAGTAAATTTTTTTTAAACAACCTGTGGAGCGGGAAGGGGATGAATGGGGAAGGGTGTAAAGGGGGTGATTGGAAAACATGGGGAAGCAGGAAAGAGAATGACACGAGACTTTTTAACTCGTACGAAAAAGTTTTCGTCGATCGTTCAACGTTCCACACATTTGTACAAGTATATTGGACATAAAAGTATCACAGTAACATTTCAGCTTGGCATTTTTATTCGAAAAAAGGAATATGTCGTTCGAGGTTGAAACAAACAAAAGAAATTGAACGAATAGCTAAATAAATAAATAAATAAGAGGAAAAAAAGAATAATAATAATAATAATAATAATAATAATAATAATAATAATAATAATAATAATAATAATAATAATAATAATAACAATGTGATCGAGGAATCAGAACGACGACCGTTATTAGTACGAAGCAGAAAAAAGAGCTAGTTGCAAATGTAGAAAGGCGCACAAGCCACAGACGTAGGATGTAGACGTTGATAAAGATTCTTGCATGTTAACTGTTGTAACGTAAAAATGTGTCGATAATAATTTGCCCAGATTGGGATTCCCGTTTATTAAAATCGTGTGTCCGAATCTCATATATGTTATTCGTTAACGATTCCAGCGCGTCGTCAAGAGATCATCAAAATGACGGAACAATTGATAGAGAGTATCAGTACCGGTGACTTCGAGGCTTACACGTGAGTAACTCTATTGGAAATTGATTATAACGTTCAAGGGGATGTACCATCGACGAATATAAAATTTACTTTCGATGTTTCAGGAAAATCTGTGATCCACACTTGACCGCATTTGAACCAGAGGCTCTAGGTAATTTAGTCGAGGGAATGGATTTCCACAAATTTTACTTTGATAATGGTAATTACGACTGATTTGCGTATCGCTTCCATTCGCCACAGCCTCCCAAAACAATATTCCGATTTTCCTGTCGGTTCGTTGCCGACGTGTTGCCGGCTGCGAAAGCACCTATTATTCTAATTACGTTGAAACTTTACTTTCCATTCGCGAGAAGCGAAACCTTTCGTTTTTGCCTTTATAGCGCACGTTTTACGCAGCCAGAACACGATCGGCGGATGTATGCTCGTTTCAGCCGAGAAAAAAATGCAAATTCGATGTAGATTTATTTTTGTCTTTTTTTTTCTTCTTTCCTTTTTTTTTGTTATTTTTTTTCTTTTTTTACTCCTATATGCGGGATCACCGTTGAACAAAAGTCCGACGCCACGTATGCATGCATGGCATGTATGTACCTCTATGTGTATCTATCTGAAAATCCAGCGTTCATTACGTACGTTCAACGCGGCTTGTTATTGCACTTTATCTTCTTTAATTATGCATGACGAATACGCTTATCTACGAGTACGATCACGTATATTTTCATTACGATCAATTTCGTGGGTGAATTAAAAATACGACAAGTAATATATTCGTGTTAAAGATAACGGCCGAACTCGACGAGTTCGTATTGCTTAGATTTGCAAAGTTTCGATTGAAAAAAGGAAAAAAAAAGAAAAAAGGAAAAAAGCTTTGCACATTGGATACAATTCTTTCCCTCTTCTTATCTTCCCTACGATCTTTCCCCTTTGGTATCGCGCGTCGAGTATTATGTCGTAAAATGCGTTATATCCTTTGATTCGTTCGATGGCATGCGAATAATCAAAAATTCATTTTAAACAACAACGAAGCGGTCCTCGGCAAAAACTGCAAGGCCGTCAACACGACGATCCTGAATCCACACGTACACTTGCTCGGTGAGGATGCTGCGTGTATCGCTTATGTCAGGCTGACACAATATATGGACAAGTAAGTGATTACAAATTCGATTCGTTTAAATAATACGACGATACCTATTCCATTATATTTATATGGAAGTTCTATTATAACGGATACGTTGAACGATCACTTTTATTAATGATATGTATGAATGGTTGCTCTTAGGCAAGGGGTAGCACACACTCACCAAAGCGAAGAGAGCCGCGTCTGGCACAAGAGGGATAACAAGTGGCAGAACGTGCATTTCCATCGGAGCGCGGTGACGGGGCCAACGTCGTTCTCCTTCAGCCACAAATAAACCGTCTGAATATTATATTAGCATCATGCCGGAATGCTGTTGTTCGTCGCTCCGCAACATACCAACAACGCAACGTCGCATCATCCGGATTAGAAAGAAGCACGAGAGAAGAAAAGAGACATATATATATATATATGTATATGCACAAACTATATACATATATATAAATATATTTAAGGAGAGAGAGAGAGAGAGAGAGAGAGAGCGAGAGAGAATATCAGAGCGCGTTTATGAGCGGCCAGAGACACGGACATAGCGCGATGATGGAATGGTTTCAAAAAGAAAAAGAAAAAAAAAACGAAAAGAAATAAAATATAAAAGGGGAGGAAATGCCGAGAGAAAAAATCAGCAGGATATAATTAGCGAGAAATCAGTCAGTTAGTACTAAGCGCGATAAAAAAAAAAAGAAAAAAAAGAAAAAAGCATAACAAGAAAGAGTAAATAAAAACAAATAATAAAATGTCTAATTTTATTGTAAGGAATTCCGCGTGCATTGCGTCACGTGCCTCAGTCTGAAGAAAACGAACGGAAGAAGAAATATAATAATAGTCGCTGAAGGTCTCGTCGGATAATAACGGAAGCATCCGATAATCCTATAGGGAAAATTCCTCATCGTATGTTCAAGAATAACAACAAGATCCCTACATATCTATCGTCTTCCTTCGCGCTTTCCTCCTGATGAATTTTCTTCACCTCTAAAATGGACAAGCAATGAAGGATCAAGAACGTTCGTTCAATTTTATCGGTGAAAAATTTCCAAAGTCTAATTAAGAGGTAATTCCGTTAGAATGTCAGCTATAAGTCGGACATTCCTCATGATGCAATGCGAGTCTAATAATGTAATCCGGAAATATGATATAAGGAATAAAAAGAAAAAGGAAAGAAAAAAAAAATGAGAGAGGAAAAAAATGGATAGAAAAAAGAAACGATGTTGCGCGTGAAATAAGTTAAAAAAAATGAAAAAAAAAAAAAAAAAAAGAAAGAAAGGAAGAAAAGAAAGAATGAAGAAAAAAAAAAGAAAAATAAAGAAGGAAAGAAAGGACAGACGAAGCAGAGACCTTTTGCGGCCGCGGAATTCGCCGCCGTGTACTAATTTAGCCATTGTTAGCCATTGTACAGAGTATTTCTTCCATGTCCAAGCTTTTTCTTCTTCTTTTCCTTATCGTCTCTTATAGATCAACGAACGCGTGCCTCCTCCGTTTCCGATGCCTTGCAGATCGATCTTTCAAAAAATATGCTGAACTTTTATCTTCGCCGAACGCCGAAACGAACGTTCTTACAAACAATTTTCGAAATATCATGGTGATACGAGTTCTTCTTCGAGAAGATCAAATTACAGTCCGAATACATTTAATAAATCTGATACGAATCGTCTTCCTTAGAATCACTCGTTGAAAGCGTTTTAAATGCGAAGATATAAATTATTTTTTAAAAGAAAATTCATCTGCATCGTGTTACATATTCTCTCGAGGGGCACGCGTACCAATCAAATATGAAAGTTTAAATTAATATTGTTATCTTACCGACGCGAGAAAGCACTTGGCGATCAATTTTAAATGAAACAGAAAAAAAAGACAAAAGAAAAAGAAAAGAAATGAAAAAAAACGAGAAAACTTTGCCAAATTCATATATATATATATATATATATATATATATCATCTAGCCTTCTCGTCATTTGATTATTTTCATTAGTCGATTGCTTTCTCGATTCGCGAATGTACGCAAGTGAAATGAAATGAAACAAAACGAAACTAAATGAAACGAAATGAAATGAAATAAAAGAGGAAGAAGAAAAAAAAACAAAGATAAGACGAACGAAGGCAAATAGATATTTGCATTCTTATCGGAGTTAAATGATCACGAAGAGATATAAGATAAATAGAAAGAAAAGAAAAAACATGTAATTATGATCGATTCACGCTCACTGTCGTGTGTCTCTCTCTTCGCATATTATTAGTGTTAAATATATGGGCAATGGCAAAATATTCGAAACGGACTTAAAGTCTGACGAACGGACAAAAGTCGCAGCGCGACGAGCGAGTTTAATTGAAAAGATGAAAAAAAGAAATAAAGGGAAAAAAAAGGAGGAAAAAAAACGCATAAAAAGGAGAGAAAATAAAATGAAGTTAAATCGATTGCGATTAAAGAAGAAAAAAAAAAAATACCTTTTTGTCCAATTAAATCATTAATATGATGAATCTTTCTACACGTTCGTACATCCCTCTTGAAATACACGTATATAATATATATACATATGTGTGCATATATAGGAAGAAAGTAAATCAATATATGTGTGCACATATATTGTATACTATATATTATATATATATATATATATATATATATATATATAAATATATATATTATATTTAACTTATGCGTATAGCAGAGAATTTCCATCTACGAAAACTAGGAGGAACATTTTTTTGCCATTTTGTTATACACACATACACGCGCGCACACGTACATAATTATGCGGATGTTCGCTATGTGCGCAAAGAATATACATATATGTGTACGTGTGCATGTATGCATGTATATATGCAGAGTGTTTCGATACGAACTGGCGGATGATTGGAGTCAACGTTTTAAGACTTAAAAAAGAAAGGGAAAAAAAGGGGAGGGGTGAGTGGGAAAAAGGATTTAAAAGAAGAAAAAGAAAGAAAGAAAAAACTGGTTGATTACAGTAAACTAGCATCGACTATTAACTAAAGTTCCCAATTTTTGTGAAACTTATTATAAATTCGTGTTACGAAAAGATGCGAACTACTTTTTGCCCTCTCTCACTCTCTCTCTCTCTCTCTCTCTCTCTCTCGTTATTCCTTAATTACACGCAGAAGAATGAGAAGCCATTTTTATAATACATATTCGTTTTACGAGATTGCCTCCGATCATCGGTTCGAATTTATAATGACAAATATATGTTGTAAGAGACATACATATATGAATGCATGCGCGCGTGTATTCGAATGTGAGCGTGTACGTACGCAGCGTGTTATTTGAAAGCGCGTGAAAAGAGACACGGAGCATATCTCGCCGATTAAAATAATCGTTATGATATTATTATCTCCTTTCCGTTATTCGCTTTCTTTTTCGATTTTCTCTTTTTCTTGGTACTGAGGGTGGTACGGGTAGGGGAGGGGTGAGATGAGGGCGGGGCCGGGGGGAGGAGAGAATTTATTTTTCTTTTTTCTCCTTTTCTTTTTTTTTCCTTCTACATGCAAGCAACTCTTTCCGATTAACAACTTACAACTAATAGATTTCAAGAAATATAAAAAGAATAAGATTAGCAAGTCTGAAAGAAAAGTTACTAGATTTCATTTGACAAGCTAATCGCATAGATAGACTCGATTTACGTCTGCTTCGAAGAAGATTTAATCCATTGGAAAGGATTACGTGCGTATGCGCACGCGCTCTAGCGCGCATTCACGTACGGTGGCACGCGCGCGCACGTATCTATGCGTATGTACCTGTATTGATACAGATGCAGATACGATTTAATATATAACAACTGCTATATATAGGTATATATATATATACAGATATATATATATATATGTATATAAATATAAGTATAAATATAAATATAAACAATTAATTAAATTAATTAAATTAATTAAATTAAATTAAATTAAATTAAATTAAATTAAATTAAATTAAATTAAATTATATTATAATTATAATTATAAGGGATAGTTATTTCTACTGTTCTAATTCGTCGCTTCTACGTGTGATTGTTGTATAAAACGATTTATTGTTTTATTATTATTATTATTATTATTATTATTATTATTATTATTATTATTGTTATTGTTATTATACGATTATCATTAACGTTAACGACTATTGCTATTCATCACTACCGCAAAGGAAAAAGAAGATGAAGATAAAGATGAAGAATCACTAACTAATATTAAAACTAAGCGAATTATAGTAATTCCAAAAAAAAGAAAAGAAAAATGCGTACAGATATAACAGAGCTAAGATGACGATTTCTCGTTTTCTTTTTTTTTTACCTTCTTTTTTATCCATATAGAGTACGAGCAGGTTCAAATTAATAACGTTATAAACGATGTCTTTATTGAAACACGTATACACGAATGCATACACACATACACACACACACACACACACACACACACACACACATACAAAAGTCCTTTATAAAATTACAAATCCTTAAAGCGAACGTATTAGACGAACTCTAAGCTTAATATATCCTTTTTAGATAATTATATTTCATTCGAAATGAAACTTCGATGCACACGCACGGGCTCTATAGCACACGTGCCACCGTCGTCTCGTTTGTTGTATATATATATATATATATATATATATATATATATATATATATATACACCTATCCTTTTGTTATTTTTTTATTTTTATTTTGTTAGTGTTGTGTTTATTTCTCGTTTCTTTTTTGTTTTTTTCCTTTTTATTCTCTTATTAAAAAGGAAAAGTCTTTTTAAAAATGTCATATAAATTAAATGTATCCGCTTTCCGGAATGACTCGTGGACTGACTCTTGCAGAGATATTTCGTTAATCGCACAAGAACGACGATGACGATAACGATGACGACAACGACGACGACGACGACGACGATGACAAATTGAAATTAGAAAAATGAAAGCTGCGTAAACCTTCTGTTTCGAACTCTATTTATATTTACGATCGAAATATTTATAAAGGAAAGTAAGAATATTTAGAGGGAAAGGGAAAGAAAGAAAGAGAGAGAAAGAGAGAGAGAGAGAGAGAGAGAGAGAGAGAGAGAGAGAATATATAGCTCTTTTAGATTCGAAGATCTCTCGACACTTGTCAGGCTTCTTCGTATCGTCCTAAACGTTTCGATGACTTTTTCAATAACTATCCTTAACCTTAGAAAGTATGAAAAAAAAGTAAAAAAAAAAAAAAAAAAAAAAAAAAAGCCAAAAAAAAAAACAAAAAAATACAAAATAAATAAATAAAATAAAATAAAAAGGAATGATTTCGTCGAAGTTACAGGCTCTTAGCAGATCGTACACATTCCGTATTAGAATCTTTTCTTTTCTAATCTTTTCTTTACCTTTTCCTTTTCCTTCTTTTCCTTTTTGTTTTTCGTGACTATATATATATATATATATATATATATATATATATATATAAAAATAAATATTATTTTTCTTTTTAACTTTCCTCCAATCTATCATCGTCGCAAAACGTCGAGACTCGTATCTAAACTTGTCCCTCGCAAAATCAATGCGATTGGCCGATGATACTTTCGCGAACGAACGTGTGTGTGTGTGATTGATCGAGAGAAGTTTGTTTGTTGTTTTTCTTTTTTTTTTTTCTTCTTTTTTGTCTTCTTCCTTATTTTTGCTTTTCTTTCCTTTTCTTTTATTTTCTCGTTTTTTTTTTCCCGAACGAACGAAGAATATCTTATAATACCTACGTTCTTATCGTACGACTTCTTAAACGATCTTATCCACGTCTCGTTGAAATTCTCTTAATGGCGCGCTTCCTCGATGTTCTATCTTCGTAACGTTCCTTACGGTGCCTACGATCTAATTCGCCTGGCGAGTATGAAAATGATATAAAATTAAAAAAAAAGAAAAAAAAAAAAAGAAAAAAAGAAAAAAGAGAGAGAAAAAAAAAAGAAACCAACAAGAACAATCCCTTATTCTGTATCGGTGTTTCTCGTCATGCTCTCATGTCGGTATGAAAAATGCATATATATGTGTGTATGTGTGCATGTGTGTATGTGTGTCCTCTGCGTGTGTGCGTGTGCGTGTGTGTTTGTGTGACATATGCGTAAGCTACCGATATTAGATTTGGATAGCACTTTAAAGAAAAAAAAATCGTTACGATCAATGGATCGATGATAAGTATGTTTTTGGTGTAAGTGTATTGCGTTTCAATCGAGTGGGTGCATGTTATTCCGATTAGCATATACATATATTTATAGTATGTATATATATATATGTGTATGTATATATATATATATATATATATATATATATACACGAACGAAATTAACTACACGAATGGAAAACGACTTGGTGAGCGAAAGAAGAAAAGCTTTGTTCTCGGAACTTTCATTGTTATACCATGTGATTACACTTTTATGAAATTGTTTAACGTTAATTTTACGTTATAACTTTCCTTTCTACAATGAGTATACTTAAACTTAATATTTTCAACTCGGCTCAACTCGCATTTGAAAACAGTTTTGCTTTTGTACATGCATATATACAATTGGCTGGCCAATTAAATTAATTTTTGCTCGCTAAGGAGTTTTGAAAGAAAAATGTTGTTTTATTGCGACAAAACAAATGAGAAAAAGGGATAGAGTCTATAAAAAGTGGTAGAAAAACCCTTGGCTCGAGTAACGCATTAATTCGATAGTACATATATGTATATAAGTATGTTGGATTTCGGTTACAAAAGAAAAAAAAAAAAACGGAACTCTCGAGGCTTCGGACTCTTTCTCTTTACATAAAGCGCATTAAAGAAAAAATAATATATGGGCCATAATAAAAGTCGAGCTGTGCTCCGATTAACGTCTTTATAGATTCTAATAATCATTAAGATTGATCGTCGTAAAATGATTATTATTATTATTATT